AGATTTTTGTATACCTGCGATCATCACTCTCAAAAGTTACAATCGCCAATCACAGGAACCGGACGGAAAGGAATATATAGTAAGTATACCAAACCATAAACACAAAACAACAATATAAAACAGGACAAGGGAATATGAGAAACCGTGGAGACACCGCAACAAACGGCCAAAAAAAACCCATCAAAATCTGTTGTTTGTGAAGAGTACGTCACCGCATATTGCACCCGTCAATAAACCACTTGATAAATAGAGTATTTATGAAGGGAATTGCCCTGACAGTTCTGTGTGTCTATATCAAAGTATGTTCTTCGTGAAATAAAGTCAGTAGACTGCATGGGAGGTTAAATAATATTACTTTCATTATTATAGCGATGGAAATCAGCAAGGGGTCATTTCGTGTTCTTAACCAAGATATTTTTGTGTTAAAATTCGACATTTCTTTTTTAATGAAATAACTCCCTGAACCCTTTGCTTTATCTGGCGATGTTATATGTATCACGTCTTTTTCTAAATGGTAAAGTATTATTAATATTGAACCAAAAGTAAACAGGTAAGTCGGAAGAGTAGAGTAACGTTTGTGTTAACAGTCAAATAGCAAACATGTACTGTACCTCTTACCGGTCTGCTATACAATGAGATAATGTACGACAATGACGTATGGAAAGTAGGCTTTCCTAGAATGCAAGCAACACACATCATGTAAATAAATGCGATGGAGCGTCAGAGTTGACCTTACAACAATGGCAGGCACCAATGGAGGTTAAAATAGCACTTATACATGAAGCCCAAATCCAAGTGTGTACACCAATTGATCCGCGCGGTGTGGTACTCGTGTGCCAATCTCTTTGACGTTGTCTACAAGTTAACTCATCAATAACTTATATAGGCACAACAAATAGTCGGCACACTACCAAAACCAGCACCACATTCCCTCGAAAACAAATAGCGGAAACGTTAAAGGAAGTCAGGGTTACCATATTTTGTAGCTAGATCACCAGATAAAATTCTTGTAGGGCAGAGACATTGTCCCCCGAGCAATTTCGATCCCCATCCACATTTACCTAAGGGACTATAATTCCCCTGGTTTAGGTCATAAAGGTGGTTCCCGCTGGTTGTGCGATTCGATCCCTTTATTTTCGTCGTATAGGTAATTATCAAATCCAACCCGCTGTTATTCCCCTGGTTTAGGACAGTGAGGTGGTTTCCGAGGGTTGTGAGATGCATTCCCTCCTAACGCGTTTCTTATAGGGGCTGTTATTCCCCTGGTATAGGACAGTGAGGTGGTTTCCGAGGGTTGTGAGATGCATTCCCTCCTAACACGTTTCTTTTAGGGGCTGTTATTCCCCTGGTTTAGGACAGTGAGGTGGTTTCCGAGGGTTGTGAGATGCATTCCCTCCTAACACGTTTCTTTTAGGGGCTGTTATTCCCCTGGTTTAGGACAGTGAGGTGGTTTCCGAGGGTTGTGAGATGCATTCCCTCCTAACACGTTTCTTTTAGGGGCTGTTATTCCCCTGGTTTAGGACAGTGAGGTGGTTTCCGAGGGTTGTGAGATGCATTCCCTCCTAACACGTTTCTTTTAGGGGCTGTTATTCCCCTGGTTTAGGACAGTGAGGTGGTTTCCGAGGGTTGTGAGATGCATTCCCTCCTAACACGTTTCTTTTAGGGGCTGTTATTCCCCTGGTTTAGGACAGTGAGGTGGTTTCCGAGGGTTGTGAGATGCATTCCCTCCTAACACGTTTCTTTTAGGGGCTGTTATTCCCCTGGTTTAGGACAGTGAGGTGGTTTCCGAGGGTTGTGAGATGCATTCCCTCCTAACACGTTTCTTTTAGGGGCTGTTATTCCCCTGGTTTAGGACAGTGAGGTGGTTTCCGAGGGTTGTGAGATGCATTCCCTCCTAACACGTTTCTTTTAGGGGCTGTTATTCCCCTGGTTTAGGACAGTGAGGTGGTTTCCGAGGGTTGTGAGATGCATTCCCTCCTAACACGTTTCTTTTAGGGGCTGTTATTCCCCTGGTTTAGGACAGTGAGGTGGTTTCCGAGGGTTGTGAGATGCATTCCCTCCTAACACGTTTCTTTTAGGGGCTGTTATTCCCCTGGTTTAGGACAGTGAGGTGGTTTCCGAGGGTTGTGAGATGCATTCCCTCCTAACACGTTTCTTTTAGGGGCTGTTATTCCCCTGGTTTAGGACAGTGAGGTGGTTTCCGAGGGTTGTGAGATGCATTCCCTCCTAACACGTTTCTTTTAGGGGCTGTTATTCCCCTGGTTTAGGACAGTGAGGTGGTTTCCGAGGGTTGTGAGATGCATTCCCTCCTAACACGTTTCTTTTAGGGGCTGTTATTCCCCTGGTTTAGGACAGTGAGGTGGTTTCCGAGGGTTGTGAGATGCATTCCCTCCTAACACGTTTCTTTTAGGGGCTGTTATTCCCCTGGTTTAGGACAGTGAGGTGGTTTCCGAGGGTTGTGAGATGCATTCCCTCCTAACACGTTTCTTTTAGGGGCTGTTATTCCCCTGGTTTAGGACAGTGAGGTGGTTTCCGAGGGTTGTGAGATGCATTCCCTCCTAACACGTGTCTTTTAGGGGCTGTTATTCCCCTGGTTTAGGACAGTGAGGTGGTTTCCGAGGGTTGTGAGATGCATTCCCTCCTAACACGTGTCTTTTAGGGGCTGTTATTCCCCTGGTTTAGGACAGTGAGGAGGTTCCCATAGGTTGTGTGATTCGATCCCCACTCGCACATTTATCTAAGGGGCTGCTATTTTCCTGGCCCAAGGACGCTGAGTTGTTCCTGAGGGTTGTGAGATTCAATCCCTCCTAACACGTTTCTTTTAGGGGCTGATGTTTCCCTGGTCTAGGACAGTGAGGTGGTTCCCGCGGGTTTTGCGATTCCATCCGTCCTCACACGTATTTCTAAGGGGCTGTTATTTAGCTGGTCCCAAGACACTGAGTTGTTCCCGAGGGCTGTGTGATTCGATCCTCCCACACACGTATACAATGTTTCTGATGGTCTGTTCCTGACCTAATTATTGGGAAGCCTATCGTGGGTAAATTGATTACTTTACAAGGCTATACTATGTCTGATACTCTATACATAGGCGTAATAATCCAGCTCACAAACCTGTCTATAATGGGCCTAACCAGATCACGTGTTCTAGTGGACACCATCACGTACACGTGTGGTGCACGTGACTGTTTAGAATGATCAATGGAGAAGTTGCCAGCTATAACAGATAACAAAACATTAAAATATTTATCGGGTTTGTCATAGTGATATATATCGGACTTTCACGGTTGTAAAATAGTCCGATGTTTGAATGTTGGTACGATAACATCATAACGCGTGCCGCTATCAACCAACGCGTTTTTTGTGTATGATTATATATATATATACAATGTATATAAAGTCATGCACGTTTTCATGAAAATGCTATCAATTTATATATGAAAATAACATAGAATAAAAACACCAATTACGAGGGGGTAATTTTACGGATATGTTTCCGTTTATTTAATAGTATTTTACTATCAAGCTATATCTTATATATATGCTTTGAAACTTGCCAACAAATGTATCGTGATTCCATTGAATATAAGGATGGACTCCAATCCAAGCTGATGACTAAATGAACAATGACATTTTAACTTTTATGTAGTATGAAAACACAATTTCTGATCACTATATAAAAACAATTTATGCTGATATGTCATAAAAATGATTTTGTCGACGATGTTGAATACGTAAAATTAAACATACAGATGTACAGGCAGACGGCACGTGAAGTATATATTTGTATTTACTTTCTGTAATGATAATCAGACAATGGTTGGGTTAAACTATAACTCATAAATATTGTAAATCAACTGAAAAACTGCGGGAATCAATATACAAGTATATTCTGGCATGTACATTGTATTGTGATCCTATTTTATTTACAGAGCGGATGACGTCATGAGTTAAGGATACCGAGTTTCACACAAACAAAACAAGAATCTCCCTTTACAGAAGATTTCAACATTAAAAATTAAATAAACCTTGTTCGTTTAAAGTGCATGTAACCTTTACTTGTGTATTCAAGTGACGACACGTTTAAAGGGAACATCATAATGTATACATGTATGACGTCGGCGTAGCAGACAATATATTTTGTTCAAGAGCGATAACTCTGACACCAATCATTGATATAATATGTATGCTCCACACGTCCTTAAATACAATGCAAAATTGCTTATGTACTTTAAAGTGTAATGATGCAATACGTATGTTTGATCCCTAGAACATCTGTTACATGAAAGATCAATACGTGATATGGTTAGTGGTGGGATAACCAGGCTGTTTTAGATACAACAAAGGGTCACACATTATCACGTCGCCTGATCACACACGGTACGCGTGACTTTACCTGGAAATTTGTGAACAGCTGAAGCACCAGGATAACGTACCAGGCTAACACTCATAGTAAATATTTGTCATCTTAAAAACAGTTCTACTTTGTACAATTTTAAAACTACTAAATTACGTGTGACAGATTCATTAGTATATTTAAAGACGATGAAAACATATTATACCAAAAACTGAACGACTCGATCCGGTATTAACAACAGGCAAGTAGTGGAATACATATCTATAACACGAATTTGTGAACCCTTTACATCTGTCTTAAATGACCGTCATGGGTTTAAATGTAAATATAAACTTTATTTATTTTACAACAAATATGAAACAAGTTAGTTCAACTTATATTAATCACTCTTGTTGGACCGGATGTTAGTACGCGAGGTCTTAATGTGGGAGCAAACCGGAGTACCCGTAGAAAACCCACGTTGTCTTTCGCTTTCGCTGTATCTTTCGCTGTGATTTAGATCGTTGTAAGCTTTTTAGCTCTTGCAGATGTCTTGATTGTATTTCATTTACTTATTTATAAGGTTCATCCGGTTGCGCATAAAATGATAAAAGTCCATTATTTACACATTGATGAGTTGTGGCGGTATATAGGTAATGTTGCTCACCCATTATCAAGTGACGCCATACCTTTTCACATCCGGGTATAGTTTATAGGGATCCCCATCTTCACAACGATTCTGTGAAATATAAAAGCGGCGTCCACATTAAACCGAACAGTATGCTGACACGTGGCCCGGTTAGCTATATAGCTGCCTTGGGGCATCACGTCGATATAAGGAAGTAAACACCGCAGTAGATCGGTCTTGGGCTTTTATTGTCCACTAAAAATGTCAGGTTCCGATAAGTCAGGGGGTTACCATTTTAGTCACGTGATAGGATACAGCACGTCGTGAACATCGTCGAGAGAAGCTAACAAATTAAATAACTTTATCGTCGGGTGTCTCATTAAACACACTAGTTTATGTGTTATGAAAGGAGAGAAGTTCAGGTTTTACCTCGGTAATAAGTTACACCAGTAAAACCAGGTATACCATTGACTGAATTTGAAGCACGAACTACACGCATGTATAGGTTAAAAACTGTCTCATAGTAAACGTGTATATGATCACGTGACATTCAAGTACACCAGAACGCTTCAAATGCTAGAAAAGCGACTTTGTATATTTATACATAAATATTAGATACATTGACAGTATATGTAAGTTGTCCTGTCGCTATCTCTATTGCTAGCCAGTGGCCAGATTAATTTTGTCTGTGTGACTTTGTGAACTTTTGCCTTGCCTTTTTGGTGAGACAATCGGCAGAACGATTGGCATTCTGCATTATGCACTAGACAGTTCTGACGCAAACTGTGCTACAGATTCTGAGAAACTATCATTTCTGATAGTGGTGAACGACGGCCTGTTTTAGTATGGCCCAGAGCCACGACTGAGGTACAGATAAAAATGGTGAGAAAACCTCTGGCAGTGTCTGTTGGTGAGTTGAACACAAAACCCGCCACTATTACAATTGAAAAATAAATCAATAAAAAGTAAAAGACATGACACTCCACGTGTTACTTACCCCTAGTCCTGTACACGTGTTCGTCCTAGCACATCTGAATCTGAATCTAGCCCTCCGCTGGTGTTCATAGCCACAGTACACGTGTATACTAAGCCTGAAGCATTCTATCATAAGCTGTCACGCAAAGTTCATAGTTACGGACGTGTGGTCCAGACTGAAATGTCGTGTACAATGTACTGCCGGACAGGGATGTGTATCGTTCTCGATAGACAGGTTCCGGGGTAAACAGATATCTCAGAAGCTGTGTGTCTGCCCGCTTCTAAGGTTGTTCCGTCAGTTTCCCGTGTCTCTCCTCAATCAATAACCCCGTATACAATCCTTCTCAGAAGACACAGTGTAGCGTCACTCCACATCGTGTACTTATAGCAACATAAATTTGAGGTTTTTGAAGTAAAACCAATTTTCATGATGTAATANATATGTGCGTTATATATGTACATGAACATATGTGCTCATTGATACAGAAAACAACACACACCCGTATACACTGATGCTCACAATGCAGTGTCTATCCTTTATTTGACGGTCTGTCGGTACAAATGTACTATGTCTGATCACTTCGCTATTGCGTGTATATCCAATCCTATTGTTTGTTTACTTAGATTATTAAAAATTAAAAATTATCGATCTTATATTATTTACAAAGACGTCTAATTTTACCTATGTCCCTGCGGGTAGTGCGTAAGAGTTGTACCTGCTGCCCCCATTGCATACTCGTAAGAGGCGACTAAATTTGGGATCTTACCTCTTCTCTTCTTTCTAAATAGTTTTCTTCTTCCTAATGTCTCCCTAGACAATGCCTCACTTTTGGCCTTTAGTTGAGCGTTCGCCTCTGTGAGGAAGGCTTTGGGTTCTGTCCCCTGGCCGAGACATTCTACTCCTGCTTAACGCTCAGCAGTTAAGGAGTGGGACGACTGGTTCGCCCGTTGTCAGTACAATGTGACCGGGTGGGGGGTGTTCTTCTATGTGTCTTCGGCAGTATGTTTCGGTGAGGTTGAATTATAAAGTCGGCATCAGTTGCTCGCTATCACAAGGAGACAAACACGAACATATCGCAGCCTCCCAAAACACACACGCATACACTACAGGCATGCATATTGCACACAGGGGAGGCCGTCCTTAAATGACCATAGCTGTTGATAGGACGTTAAACAATTCTAAACCAAACCAAACTATGGGATATTCATCGTATTCCACACGTTGAATTCCGGTGGATATTTTTACATTAGTGCGTTACTTTATATAGTTTTTGAACATTATGTTGTCTCTAATGAATAATATATTTTAATGTTGGTCTGATGAACAATATGTTTTATGTTGGTCTAATGAATAATATATACATTGATGAGTTGTGGCGGTATATAGGTCATGTTGCTCACACATTATCAAGTGACCCCATACCTTTTCACATCCGGGTATAGTTTATATTAAAGTGTTAGTTTGTTAGTTTGCATATCAATGGAACGTTTTTGTTGCTTCAAATTGCAATATTTTAAAACTTTGCTTTATTTTGTTTGTTTTTGAAACACATCCTTTCTAACAAGAATTTACCGTAAACTGAAATGCAGTGAAGTCCCCTTTTCTGTGACCTCAATTTTTCACTTTGTATATATATTTTTCTTTGGTTTTCATCTCGGCGTTCTCTTCTTTCTATCAAGCGTCGATATCCTTTTTCAAATTTCAGATAACGGGAACTTTCCAAGTTAGCTGTGCCTTCCATCTGAGGAATGCAGGTATATACCCATGCGCCTCCGCACTAAAATCAGATTCGTTGAAATTGATCAAGCCACTCAAATAATTGACACTCCAAATACATTTCTGTGAGGGTTTTTTTAAATGGCGCTGATCGTATATTACATGAATATGGGGTTTATTTATGGATAATAAACAACAATGATCTACCTACAAATCAAACAATCATCTTACTATTCATATCCTCTGCAGATAGCGAGTTCACGGGGAAATCTTTAATTTTTAATATTTTGTACGTAGGTTTAATCCAAAGGCCCTCCATTAGCGCAGTTTTTTTCTTCGAATTTTACATTGTCAGATATATGGGGGATTCGGAGGGCTTCAGGAAGTGATCAACAAGCATCGGACGGAAAATAACTGCCGGTAGCTTTCATCTGTTCTTTGATCAATATCTTATGAGATCAGTGTAGCGTTTTTGACACATATGTATATGATAGAAATGACACACTGCAGCAAAACATTACAAGAAAAAACAATTTCGACACACTTTTTATTTTGTTGACAAGGTTTCAACTTACGTTTTATTTTTAAGGACTCTGTAGGTAATTAACCTCGTTGGTTTCTTAGATCGACATGTTCGGTATATATATTATCAATATTAAATTACTATCAATCTATCTATATGAAGAAACATTGCCAATTTTATTAATTACAGCTGAAGATCCGATAGAAATGCGAAATCCGGTATCTTCATACAAGAGTGTAGTTTAATTCGGTTGGAACGAGTTTGTTGTAAACACGTTTATTCATACCAGGACGTATCTAGTAATGTTGATCATAGGCACAGACCACAAGACTGTCAATCTCTTTAACCACCATAATTATTCATTTATGTATATCTTCAGTTCACTACACGTTTCTCTATAACCACAACCAGAAGAAAATGTGGTCATAGAACCATGAACGCAATTTGATCAGTGTCATTCTTGAAGCTCCTCCCCAACATCGAATAACATGAGACAACCGTTAGAAGCAAACATTTTGGTGACGTTCACACTTCAATATCGAAAAATAAGGGAATTTGTACTCAGGCCGATAACAAATAAATATTTAGAATATGAATATATGGACTGACCTTTTTTTTTTCACTGTTCATAATGGTATGAAATTGAAAACAAATCCGTTCAACCCTTATAATTACAAGTTATTCAAGTTCGTTGATACTAAGGTCAAAGGTGCGGGCAATACTTTTTTTCAGAAAATTATCTCCATGGTTTGTAATTGCTTTTTGGAAGCATCCAAATATTTAAGGAATGTTATTGAAAATATTTATAGTAATGGCGATTTATCTGACCGTGAATACAGTTATAGACTTTTGATATGATGTAGAGGAACTGGACAGGCTCGATCGCCGGCGACCAGGTACTCATGTACGCAACTTGGTAGACCTAGCCTCCGTCAGGAGTTCGGAGAGGCCCCGAGTTCGAAACCGCGCCTGTCTCGCCTCTGCATTTTCTTCGCCTGTTACAGTCATATGAACCAGAAAAATGATATAAAATGAGGTGAAGCCGAGTCACTACGATTTGTCGGGTCATATCACATCACGTTCACCACAACAGAGTCCAAAGTTGTTTTATTATATTCTTCAACAATTAAGTAACATCGGAAAAAAAATATGTTTTCCATTAGATCGTTTGGTACGAGGCTTTCTGGCATGCTTTTTTGCAGGTTACAAATCGTAAGTTGTGGCTTAAAAAAAAACAATCTTGCTGACCGATACAATTTCTTTTAATGATAAAATATTACACTATATAGATAAAAGTTTAAATACATAATTATCAAACAACTAATTACAAACGATAAAAGAGTTAACATTCCCACAAAGGGTTAAGAAATAGATATTCTTTGAGAACTAGTCCCCCGGTCCGTATTCATAAAACCGTTCTCATGCTCAAGAATGGATTTTGTGCTCAAACCAACTTTCTTGTCAAACGATCAAAACGCCAAATGTAAACATTGAAAACAGTATTTGGCTTTAAGTCTCTTCAAATGATTTTTCCAAATCATTTACAAAATAAGATTTTATTATTAATTGATAAACGGAACTAGAAATTAGGCTTAGGAACCAAATCCACGTTTGAGCTTGAGAACGGTTTCATGAATATATATAAGATCTGAGATATAAGACTGAGAGAAATGATCCAAGTATACAATAATAAATGTCCTCACCAAGTCACCCCTAGAAAATAAATAGTCATGCAGAAAACAAATAAGCATTAACGTCAGACAATGACTAGCTGTCCTTAGACAGGAAATCAATCATTTCATCATTTGCTGCTGGAATCAGTTTTACCGAGGTACTCTCTTAGCCGAAGTGGGAGGCGAATGTCAATAGTACCGAGATGAAATCTTTAGTTAAGATTTTGTCATACAGCAACAATGTTTTCTAGTTTAAAGAAATTTCTAAAGGATGACTGGACATCCAGCGACAAATTTGGTAAGCACCACAAAACTTGGGCCGCTTTCATTTATCGCGATCCAAGCGATTGAACAGGTTCGACCAGGATTGTTCGTTTACGAAACAAGGTTGGTCCTAGTAATCATGCAGATGCTGTTTTATGCGAGCCTTGACAAAGCCTCGCAATGGGCTGTAAGATGTAACATTTGAAAACAGACGAACTGGTTGTTCCGCATAAACGAACATGCCCTTGTAATCATCAGTGAAAGTTACATGTAATCACAGGTACTAGCCTCGTCCGTCAATACACCCGTAATATAATATTTTTATGGGTGCATTAACAGACGAGGCTTGTACCTGTGAGTTAAAAGAAATATGCCCCTGCGGCATGGCATGATCACCGTCCACGTGTATCAGTAACTGCCTAGGAGCATATATAAACAAGAGGACAAGAGGGCCTGTGTCGCTCACCTAGTAATTGAGCAATCATGGGGAAATATTCTCAGCGAAAGTACTTAATATTTCCATATGTTGAGCCTGCTTGGCTTAAGAATGTTTAAAGACTACATGAAACTAATCTAAACTAGATTTGATCAAGATCAAAACACGGGATTTCCAACAGGAAATGATCAAAGATATGTTCTCGGAATGACGATCGCTTCCCTTCGCTTCCCTTCGCTTCCCTTCTTTGACCAACCTTGCCATAGGGTCAAGTTATTTCTGAACAGTCAGCATTCATAGAAAGCTGTTAAGTGTTTCTTTCTTTCGTCCCCCTTACCTTTGTGGGAACCTTATTACCTTTGTGGGGACGTTATTTACTTAAAGTAGTTGTGAATGTCAGCTCTGTTATTTGGACCCAGCGACACCAAACCCCAGTAGGTATGCTGTTAGTTACACAGGCAATGGTGAATGACAGCTCTGTTATTTGGACACAGTACACCAAACAACAGCAGGTATGATGATAGTTACACAGGCAATGGTGATTGACAGCTCTGTTATTTGGACCCAGCGACACCAAACCCCAGTACCCACAGTGATGGTCCTGGGGCAATAGTGAATGACAGTATTTGGACACAATACACCAAACAACAGTAGGTATGATGATAGTTACACAGGCAATGGTGATTGACAGCTTTGTTATTTGGACCCAGCGACACCAAACCCCAGTAGGTGTGATGTTAGTTACACAGGCAATGGTGAATGACAGCTCTGTTATTTGGACACAGTACACCAAACAACAGTAGGTATGATGATAGTTACACAGGCAATGGTGATTGACAGCTCTGTTAATTGGACCGAGCAACACCTAAGTCCAGGTCGGACAATTGTAGACAATTTGGTAAAAGAGGTTGTGAGAAAAAAAACCTGTTATTTCCCTTTGTACAGTTTGACGAAAGTATTTTGACCATTCTTTAAGAAATAGTCCGTTCTTTTATCTATTTATGTGCACTATGATGCTTTGACATTGAAACTTTAAAAAAATATCCTCATAAGAATGCACTCTTAAAAATGTGGTGTAAAAAAAGAAAATGAAAGAATTTGAAAATTTAAGTTTTTTGAAGATTTGACCTATGTGACCTTGAATGAATGTCAAGGTCAACGATAAATATTGAAGTCAATGATACATGCTATGTATGTGCCGAATATCAACTCTCTAGGCCTTAAGAATACGGCGGAGAAGAGATTTAAGTGTAAATTTTCAAAGTGGCATATCTTCGTCATTCATTTTTGATGCTATGACCTTGAAACTTAGAAAATACCTTCATTAGAACATGCCCTTTACGATGTGATAAACATTGAACTTATTTTCCTTTTTCCTTTTTGACCTATATTTGACCCCATAGCGAGGCTTTTAACTTAAGATATTCTCTGAAAACATGTCATGGGAAAAAGTTAGCCCCGACCAAGGTCTACATGAAGTATAAGCAATGTAAATGCAGTACAATGAACGGTTTAGAAGTTATAGACGTTCGAAAAACGTTCAATTATTCTCTATTTATAGATCTGTGACCTTGACCTTTGGAGTTACGATCATGATTTTGTTCGTGTTTCGTGAGATCGTCGTCCTTTATCATGTTCTGGAATATGAACGTAATATCTTTGTTCGTTCTTGAGATAAAGTGTTTACAAGATATGTGAAAATAATTGTAAGAAAAAACAGAACAATATCAATAGGTATTTCCATCCGAAATGGAAATCCCTAATTAACTACTCTATCCCAGCATGCTACTGGTCAAATATCATCACCCATGACCTTCTTGAATTACAGAAGTTTAAAGTTTTGTTTACATATTTAACCCCGGTGATCTTGAACGTAAGTCAAGGTCATTTATTTGAGGAAACTTTATAGCACTCTGCTTCCCAGGTACTTCCTAGCCAATTGTCATTGCTAAGATATCTTAACACTTTTTACCCCTTTGACCTTCAAAGTAGGTCAATGCCATTTATTGGAGGCAACATCAGAGCACTCTGTCCCAGGTACCTACTTAGCAAATAGTATTACTCTGGGTCTCTTGGTTATTCAGAGGAAGTTATTTAAAGGATTTTAACACTTTTTACCCCTGTGACTTTGAAAGTACATCAAGGTCATTTATTTGAGGGAATTGTATAGCTCTCTGTCCAAGGTACCTACTGAACAAATATCGTTGCTCTAGGTCTCTTGGAAATTGGCTCTCTCAGTACTATACTGAGATCTGAGAAGGATCTTGGTCCCCACCATTTATAAGATCTTCATTTGTTTTATTAAGTTTGATCTAAGCTTTTATCTGTGGGATTGAATCATGTCTTTCTACTACTGTAATAAACATTGTCCTTTAAAGGGAGGATGTCATTTGTGTCATTTACTAGCACACACTATTTATAGTAATAAATGTGTAAAAATAGAGTTTCCTGGTTTTTGGATTTTTCTTCTGATCATCCTGCTCGAAGCTGTACATAAATATATGCAAAACTTGGGAACAGGAAAAACCATTCATCTTATGAAATTTGAGAAAATCTGTAACTTACTTTCAGAGAAACAGCTATTACAATCTTCAAGTCATATTTAAAATGTCTGCCTGGCAGTCGTCTTGCTATTTCAATCAGTCTCAAAACGTTCTGTCTAGTACTTTTTGAGAAATAGCAATTACATACTTTAACTGTCGAAATCCAAGATGGTTACCTGGCGGCTATCTCTTTAATCCAACCAGCTTCAAAACAATACAACTTCAACAACAGGTTATCCCTAACACAAAATTTTTGAAAGATCTGTGAAGTTCTTCTTTACAAATTGAGATATTAGGAAACTTGAACTGTCAAATTCAAAGATGGCTGCCTGTTGTATTCTGTTCAGTCTCAAAATGAAACCTTTGACCTTTGACCCATTGCTATGACCTCTGTTCTGGTATCACAACTATACAACTATCAGTTATACAATGGTGACTTAACACATTCACCCCTGAATTTTCGTAATGAACTATTCCAACCTATGAATTGGAGGAGTTCAAATGTGTCTTCAGGGGTGAATGAGTTCACCATTCAATGGCTTAAGCCAGAAATTTGAAAGAAAACAAAACAAAATTTCTGATTTTTTTTTTAAATATTTTTTATTTTTCCATGTCCTCAAAACTGTTCCTGGCAATAGAAGATTAATTATCACAACATTAAGTTTGTTTGAAAGACATTTAAAACAGTAAACATGTAACAGAAAGAATCCATGTTTCTACCACAATTAGTTCTATTACTCCCACCCACAGTCAAACCCCACCCTACTGTAATAAGGGACACAACCAGTAAAGGTGGAAATTAACCCTGTTACTATTGGGCAGATGGATCTAGACTATAACGTACATTTAGCCAGGATTTAATGCCCCTAGTTACTTTTTTGTTTATCATGTTTTCATTAATTACCGTACGTTTTCAAATGCCCTTTACACTTTCACTCTAGTGATGCCGTTGTTGAATGCTAATTTTTTCAATGAGCAACACTGAAAAAAGAAGATACATTTTTATTGTTGAAGTTTGTTTGCCTTATTTTCATAAGTTGGTATAATTATTTTATTTGTTATGTACATGTTTGATTTTCCCGTAAAATAATTGCTATTTTGAGCGCTTTTCTTACTCATTCAACACTAATACAGACAGGGCAATACACAGGCAGGAAAGGAACATTCTTATCATAACATGGCCATTAGGTAGTTTAATGCGTAGCTAAATGTTAACACTTCCTGTACAAGTCTACCTGAATATATTACCCAACTCCTTTATAACGCCAACAGCTGAACATGTGTTGGCATTATAACATGGTCCCCATATTCACATGTACCTCGCCCTGGCATGTGTTACCTGTTAGTGACAGACAAATATTTAACTCATTCACCCCTGAGATTTTACAATGAACTATTCCATCTTTTGAATTGGAAGAGTTCAAATGTTTCTTCAGGGGTGATTGAGTTAACTTACCCAGTTCATATAATATTACAGGTGAGTGCATCAAAAATGTAATTATAACCCGTTTTATAAATTCAGAGATCTTATAGTAATGTAAAATAATCAAATAATACAAAACAAAAAAACAAAAGCATCTTAATAACTATAAGATCAGATTTTGTCTCAACTACAGTATAACAATTATAATTTAAAGGGAACATATTACACAAAGTACTTCAACATAGTATGATAACAAGTAACAACACCAAACCAATGACAAACTGCAAATGTACGACAAATATTCGTATATCACGATGCCATTGAGACTTGACACCGTTTGGAGCGTACATGAAATTTCCCTCATTCTTAGCTCCCAACCTCAAAGATCTCAAACAAGCCCCCAGCTGGTTCAAGAGAGTTGAATCAGGACTCGGGGTGCTACCATCTACAGCCAGCCTGATTGACTCAGGAACATGTCCCTGGGTCACACGTGCCCGGATGTGCCTGATATCCCCCCTTTTGATCTTAGTAAAGGCTGAAGAGGTCGCCAAAATCTACCTATGAGTAGTATTTTGATGAAAGACATAGTTATAAAATTAATTTTCTATGATTTGGACAATTATGCCTGAATTTATAAATTAATTTTCTTAAAAACTAACTGAAAGATTCAAACAAAAAAGCAATAGGCTTTGATTAAATTTCTTGGCACATGTTCAACTTCAAAAGAGTTTTCAATTTTTATCAAATAACCCTAAATTTGAAGTCTCAGTTTTTTTCGAAACTGCTTAAAATATGTATGAAACAAGAGAATGTGTTTGTGTGTTTCACAGTAATTATTTACAAAACATCAAATCACCTATAAAATGTCTGGTCTAGAAAAAGAAATCTGCTCTGAAAATTTGACCATTCATTTGTCATGAGTCAAAAGCACTGAAATACTGAAGCATAAACATTTGAACTAATTCTAAAGAATGTTTTTGTCGTCCAGTTACAGAACATTCTGTCTCTACAACTCAAGACCAATATTATATATTCAATATACTTAACAAAACAAAGGGGTTCTACAGGAAATAGGAATAATTACCCCTCAAATGTTGTGTAAAATCAATGTAGACACTTTGCAAAAAATGTTCAGTGATTAAAGGTGCAAGGTTAGGGATATTGGAATGAGCAGACATATAAATACCAGTAATTGGAGGAAATAAGGACGAGATGGAACATCATGAAGGAAAATTGGTACACAATTCAACAAAGGGCCATAACTCTGTATAAAGCAAAGATAGTAATCAATTTCAGTGACTCGCCTCCTTTTCAAGCTAGACACATACGGTAAATAACTTTGGTAATGTTAGTGAGCAAGAAAGGAAACATCCGGATGAAATATTGTTGATGCTAGCAAGTCAGTCAAAGCCATCCCATAATATGTCATAACTGGGCATATATAAGGGTAAACTGGGAATTTTTTATTGTGAGCATGTTTTTATAAAAATTGAGATTGTATAGATACTAATAGATAGTAAAAAAAGAAAATTATGTTTTAATCTCACTTGATTATTATTGAACTCTTTGGATAATTTTGGTTTCAGTGTGTAAACCTTTAAAAGATTTGTCATTCGTTAGTCAATTCATTCATCCCTGAAGACACATTTGATCACCTCCAATGCAAAGGTTAGAATAGTTCATTACATAATTTCAGGGGTGAATGAGTTAAAGATGTAAAATTTTGTGATGTATATCCACTGAATTAACCACAAAACTAGGAAATAAACATCATAAATAATAGTTAAAGAGAACATATTCACACAACCTGTGTACACATCATTTCAATACAAGTATCAACAATAAACAAAGGGCCTTAACTCTGTATAACTTAGGAAACCTGACCTAAATACAGTGCACAATTCGGCCTTCATAAGACATCTTAATTATATAAAAGTTGGTTAATCTGCTCTGCTCTGGACAAACTTTGGTATCAAACATGAAGAAATGGTCATTACTTTGTATGTACTGGGGCCAGGAATCCAATTAACTGTGTAGCACTTTGGCTGCCCAAAATACCCGTTTAGAGTATGTAGAAAATAAAGCAAGAAAAAAAAAAGGTCTGGACAAATCAATGTTGATACCTATAGCCAGCCTGACACTGCTTTTACCATAACAGATTTCATCACAGAGGGGAGTATATAAATGAGAACAGGCAATGGACAAATAACATAAAAGTTACAAAAACGTTCACAGTGGACAAGCGATGTATAAGTATAGGAACATTTATAGAGGTGTAATATGTAAAATGAAGCTTTTCATCAACGACAATTTTTATCGACGATTCTATTACACAACACAACTACACAAACTGGGACATTGAGAACCCTACAATAATAAATCACATAGCTTGTTGTTGTCTCCTGTTTACTTACATTTCTATATATATTAAGTAGTGAAATACATATCCTTGGTCACGGACTCCTCAAACTGTATTTGTAGGCGTAGTTAGGTTTAATCATAGGTATATGAATACAATTAACTGTAAAAGTTTCTTCAGGTTAGAAATATTTGGTCAGACTTTCTTTATGAACGTAGATGAGGGGGCTTGGAGACTCCTTCAGAATAAAGCCTTCAACCTTACAACTCAGAAGAGTAACTTAAACTGACTTCAAGTTGGTTTCACCACAAGTATACAGACTTCAATAAACCCTTATAACAGGTGATATCTAAGAAGAACTGCTTCTCAAGTGATGTCCGTCTACTACACTGGATCTTTTATCTCTGCTGGTGGCCAGTGGCGTCATGGCCTTTGTTGAGATTGGTTTTCAATGTCTTTGATCACAGGACTTCTACGGACCTTGTGACCCCTACCGAGGTTTAATGGAATTTTGATCATCGGCTAATGTCAAAACTTCTGCAGGTACCCCACTGCCTTGTATTCACTGCCTGACCCTTGTAAGATTTGACCTCTGATTGTAACTTCTAAGAAGACTTAATCGTTTTTGGTAGATGTCTGAAGATCTTGATAGCCCAGCCGATGAGGAAGTTCCACAGAGACTTGGCGATGGGAACTCTGTTGATGAGAAGTCTCCACACGACGATAATCAGCACCACATTGGTGGCCATGTTGATTCTCTGTAACCTAGCAACAGAATATATAAATTGCGGTGTCACGTTACAAACTCAATGAAATGATTTCAGATATTTATGATGCGTTTATTTTAATTCATGTGTCCATGATGGTAAAATTACAGTTATGCTTATGCTAACTCCTATAGTAATATCGTAAAAACTCGTGTAATTTGCGCAATCTTTTTTGAGAAATTTAGTGCCCAAAGTGGGGGGTGGTCAGAATACATAGGTGTAAGCAATTTCATTTTTTTTTTCATGAAAAGATCGATGAATCTGGCAGACCGCTATCATGAACACGAGATAATCTCCCTTGGTACACGGATATGTGAATCAAAGAAAAGAGAAGCAGACCCACTATATATCTGACACACATGTACACCTGCTAAAAAAGAGAGCATTTACATTGTGAATTACAAACAATTATACCCTCCAATCAATTACACCTATTTCAATCCCTTTAAAGTACTGTGTAGAATAATCATTCAGAGAAATGAAAAAAACTAGAAAATGTCTGTAAGACATAAACACCCCCGCTCATGTATGAGACTGGACGGGAAGGGACGGGACGGGACGGGACGGGACGGGACGGGACAGGCGTGACGGGACGGACATGGGCAACACTATATGTCCCCCCATTTTATGGAGGGGGCATAAAAATAAAGTCACTGATGAAGTACCTACCTTTTGAGTGTGCGTCTAGCCTTTGGGAGTTCATCTAGTTCTTCCTTCATGACAAACTTCTTGGTGCCCAGACAGTATGCCTCCATGTACTCTGCCCAGTTTATTATCTTTGGGTCAAAGTTGAATGACTGAAAATATTTGAAATTCAAAAGAATGCAGTTTCTTTCATGTAATTATAGTCTGTAAGAGTGATATGTCTTAATGTAAGAACAAGGGTAATACGAAAGCGGAACATAATACAGCTGTCATGTATTTAGTAATCAGTTGTCTGCATGGTTGTACATAAAGGGCCATAACTCCATTAAATTACGGTTGGACAATGGTGCATGGTTATCAAACTTTCTGAGCTATCATGGCAATGAACCTTCCTTTTGAAGTTAATCCGTTTAAAATTACTCGAGATATCGACCAGACACAGTTTGCGCCTGTCAGGAAACTAGATTTTCGTAAGTTATGGCAAATTGTTTCCACGGTAACAAAAATTATTGAAAAAAAAAATTCCAAAAAGGAAGAGGCACAATTAGAAAACTTAGTCTTATATTCATACCAAGTTCTGTAGAGATACATAAAATGTTTTTTATGTAACGGCCCAGAAATAATATTGAAAATAAGAAGTTCCAAATAGAGATATGCAAAATGGTTTCAGAGCTGTTGCCCGAAGTTCACAGACAGACAGATGACAAATTGATTTGAAGCAGATTTACCATTAATATCCCTCGTTTATGCATTTTCACAGGAAATAATTAAAAATACATAATCCTATCCTTAAAAGAACTTAACCTCTTATGCAGTTATTGACTAAGATTCTCTATACATATGTATACGTAATAAAACAAAACCATTTTCCTGCATGGCCTATTACTATTGCGGGATAAAAATATTCTTCTTCCAAACCCCCGACCCCCTCTCCACCCCCACCTTCTCTTCCCTGTACAGTACAAACCAACCTTTTTGTCCTTTAAAGAACTCAACCTCTCAAACTAATTAATATAAGATTCTCTACATAATTACCAAGTGAAAACCATTTCCTCGGCCTATCTATTTCTGGATTAATATATTCTTCTTTCAAACCTCCGACCCCCTCTCCATCCTCACACCCTCAACCCTGTACAGTACAAACTAACCTTTTTGTCCTCTGGCGTCATGACGTGTAGGATTTTATGGAGTCCTGCATTGGTGAAGTTCCACTCTTTGGTTGTGAAGTAGTCCAGGCTACCTACAGACTTCCTCAATCTTTCCTGGATCTTAACAAAGCTGTAATCAATCAACAGCGTCTTTGTCAGTGGTTTGAGAATGTTTCATTCACACAAATTAAAAACTGATCCATAGTCTTAACGGTGAAATATGTAAATGTTGAACAAATATTACTGAATCTCACAAACATTAAATTAGACAAAGTGAATATATATTCAATTACCCTATAATATGCTATTACCAGGGTATGCTGTCTTTGAAAATATTCATATCAAATCTTGAAAAGTTATTTATTTTAATCTTTAGTCAGTCGCAAACATTGCAGTTTCAAACGCAATTTGGAATCCAAGTATTGTCAGCATTATAAATTAGTGTCTGCAATAACAGTGTTCAAAAGCAAGTGATGTTTTCTGACGACAACAAACTTAAGACAAATATGTAAACCGGGAAACATACATAAGATGAACAGGTTCTAATAAATGCTACTTACATTGGCCGTTTGCCCAAGATCCACATGTAAAAGTCCATTAGGTAGGCTGGGATGAGGTGATCAAACACTACGTTCAGATCGTGCCAGATACTGCGGGGAACAAAACACATGTTACGTATGATCATACAGAATTACAGAAGATATCCCTTTATTTTACCGTAAAGATAAATACTGAAACCCTTTTTTTAGCTGGAATAGTGCCATTTTTCACAAAATTATTAATAAGCAAACGTCTTTGATAACAAGAAAAAAGTTCTTCAATTCAATCAATTTCAAATGAGATATCTACCTTGTTATTGATTTTATAGTTTAGTTTTCCTATTCTTTGAATGAAATTCTCTTCATTGTCATGAACAGTTGTTTTTATAAAGTATTGATTTTCTTAAGGGATTGTTTTCATGAAAGGAATGATATCATTAACATTAACAATGATACCTTCATTAGTCAATGTGGTTAAATGATGGCAAGAAATTCAAATTTCCTTTCAAGTATCACACAAAGTATTTACAGTAATATAGAATACCTTATAATTGATTCAACCATTTGTCTTAATGGTTAGCACCGAAAGGGTGAAGGTTTCAGGCGTGCTTTGTGAAAATACAGGAAAAACACCACCAAAGTCAAATAGCTTTTGTCCTCCGACCAAATACTTATAATTCCACAGAAAGCTGACTATTATAGAATTTTTCTAATGAATCTGTTTCACATTTATGAAAGCATATAACACAGTTTTGTTCAAACTACATGTATCTCAAAGATGCACTGTATATTAACATTCAAGCCAACATATATATAGAAAGTTCTAATTCATCCTCCTGACGAGTTAATTATGTTTCACAAAGCAATTTAGACAGACTATTTTACCAAAAAGTAGAACGGCCATTTTTGTATGAACAAGGTTGGTGTAATCTATGGTAACCATTCTTGTTTGGTGACCAAATGTTAACCGAAAGTATTCGGAAATGTCTGACAACAAAGTTTGGATTTCATGTCACAACCTAGCTAATTCCCTGATTCTCACCATTCAATGAAAAGAGGAATACTTGTTTGTCAGTGGTGTAGAATACTTGTTTGTCAGTGGTGTAGCTAATCATTTTCGGAGTGTATGCTTACAGGGGGCCGAGTGTCCGAGGCGCGTAGCGCCAGATGAGGGGGAGGGTATGGGAGAGGGAGTTTCCCCTCCTATGGCTTGAAAAAAAATAGAATTCTACTGGGCCCTATTAGCAAACTCTCTTATTCTGGGAAATCCTTTTAGTACGATTATTAACATGTAAAACCTGACTTTTTATATGAATGATATTGAGTTTTGTACTTCACTAACTAGTTTTTGTTTTAGAATTCTACATAATTCTTTGGAGATTTTTTAATATTTTTATCAGATTTGTTTTATTCTTTCCTTTTTAATGATTGATACAACCGGTCCATATTTATCATTAAAAAAGAAATTAATATATATATATATGATTAAAAAAAAAAATGAAAAACTTAAATGTATGCTTATGCCACTGTTAGTAGGGTTTTAAAGCTGATCAGAAACTCAGAGCTTGGTTAGTGGTGACAGGTTAAAGGGACGTAATTCTTGTCAAATCTAATGCCACTTTTTCCAATAAATAGCTAGTATAAAGCTAAAAAGTGCAGTTTTGTGTCCAGCGATATGCTTATTAAACAGTGCTCTGCTGCACACAACGATAAAACCACAAACAGACCAATTACAGATGTTAGAAATCTTGAAATCAACTGATCATGAATATATCAAAATACAACTTGAAGTTTAGGTTTTTCGAGATACATGTAGTGTCATTTTCACTGTTATTACTTATAGATCTATTAAACTTTTCTTGTGAGGCTGTCCTACAGTCCAGTAAACCATGTGTAATCTACCGGCATCAGATTAGGACCATTTTCCCTTTCACATAATGGACTCATTCAGATAAATGCATGGGAGAGTCTACTAAACTTGCATAGGGATGAAAGGGTTAAAACCACTTAGCAAGTATGTGTTGGATGAACAATATTTGTGTTACTGTTCTATAGTGTGGCTAAGAAAGTCTTTGTTTACAGTGTCAACACAGCACAGGAATATCACTGTTATTAGTACAAGGACAGGAGTAAGAATGACAGGGAGAAATTTAGACTCTTTTATCTTAACCCTTTCACCCCTTTATAACTTCAGTAGACTCTACCACATCATAGATCTGGATGAATCCATTATGGTCTACAGTGGTGAAAGGGTTAAAACACAATACTGTGCATCTTAATATACCTTACTTACCTTTACAGATGCCACAATTAAGCTATAAATATGAAAGAAATGAAACAGAAATTTAAAATAACTCTGAAGAAATCAAAGCATATTCTCAGATTTGTTTTAATTAACTAGGAAAGACCAAGATGTCATGTCAGAAGGGGCGGTCTTTTTAAGGTTTTACACACTTACCCGTTCTTTGTAAATCTGGGGTTGGGAACCCGAGCCACTGTGTTGACAGGATTCTTCATCAAGTAACTGAATGACAGTTTCTCTGAAATATAGATATAGCCAAGTGTCAATATTACTGCACTGCATAATTAGCAGTGGCTACATGGGTATTGTGTTAGGGTAGCTACGTGGGTATTGTGTTAGGGTAGCTACATGGATATTGTGTTAGGGTAGCTACATGGGTATTGTGTTAGGGTAGCTACATGGGTATTGTGTTAGGGTAAGAACATGGGTGTTGTATTAGGGTAGCTACATGGGTATTGTGTTAGGGTAGTTACATGGGTATTGTGTTAGGGTAGCTACATGAGTATTGTGTTGTGGTAGCTACATGGGTATTGTGTTAGGGTAGCTACATGGGTGTTGTGTTAGGGTAGCTACATGGGTATTGTGTTAGGGTAGCTACATGGGTATTGTGTTAGGGTTGCTACATGGGTATTGCGTTAGGGTAGCTACATGGGTATTGTGTTAGGGTAGCTACATGGGTCTTGTGTTGTGGTAGCTACATGGGGATTGGGTTAGGGAAGCTACATGGGTATTGTGTTAGGCTAGCTACATGGGTATTGTGTTGTCGTAGCTACATGGGTATTGTGTTGGGGTAGCTACATGGGGATTGTGTAAGGGGAGCTACATGGATATTGTGTTAGGGTGGCTACATGGGTATTGGGTTAGGGTAGCTACATGGGTATTGTGGTTGGGTAGCTACATGGGTATTGGGTTAGGGTAGCTACATGGGTATTTTGTTAGGGTAGCTACATGGGTATTCTGTTGTGGTAGCTACATGGGTATTGCGTTAGTGCAGTTACATGGGTATTGTGTTAGGGTATCTACATGGGTATTGTGTTAGGGTGGCTACATGGGTATTGGGTTAGGGTTGCTACATGGGTATTGCGTTAGGGTAGCTACATGGGTATTTTGTTAGGGTAGCTACATGGGTATCGTGTTAGGGTAGCTACATGGGTATGGTGTTAGGGTAGCTACATGGGTATTCTGTTGTGGTAGCTACATGGGTATTGTGTTTTGGTAGCTACATGGGTATTGGGTTAGGGTTGCTACATGGGTATTGTGTTAGGGCAGCTACATGGGTATTGTAGCTACATGGGAATTGTGTTAGGGTAAGTACATGGGTGTTGTATTAGGGTAGCTACATGGGTATTGCATTATGGTAGCTACATGGGTGTTGTCTTAGGGGTAGCTATGTGGTTATAGTGTAAGGGGAGACTACATAAATATTGCTGATGTGTTACAGGTGGCTATACATAGACGCAGTGCTAGGAGTAACAACATACCCATTTCGCCCCATGTGAAACGGTTAATCTGTCCAGTTGTGCAATGGTATACACTCATGTTTTCTGGTATTGTGTTGTGGTAGCTACATGGGGATTGTGTTGTGGTAGCTACATGGGTATTGCGTTAGGGTAGCTACATGGGTATTCTGTTGTGGTAGCTACATGGGTATTGCGTTAGTGTAGTTACATGGGTATTGTGTTAGGGTAGTTACATGGGTATTGCGTTAATGCAGTTACATGGGAATTGGGTTAGGGCAGCTACATGGGGATTGTGTTAAGGTAGCTACATGGTTATTGGGTTAGGGTAGCTACGTGGGTATTGTGTAAGGGTAGCTACATGGGTTTTGTGTTAGGGTAGCTACATGGGAATTGCATTAGGGTAGCTACATGGGTGTTGTCGTATTTAGGGGTGGCTATATGGTTGTAGTATTAGGGTAGTTACACGGGTATTGTGTTAGGGCAGCTACATGGGTATTGCGTTAATGCAGTTACATAGGTATTGTGTTAGGGTAGCTACATGGATATTGCGTTAGGGTAGCTACATGGGGATTGTAGCTACATGGGGATTGTGTTAAGGTAGCTACATGGGTATTGTGTTGGGGTAGCTACATGGGGATTGTGTTAAGGTAGCTACATGGTTATTGTGTTAGGGTAGCTAAATGGGTGTTGTGTTGTGGTAGCTACATGGGGATTGGGTTAGGGAAGCTACATGGGTATTGTGTTAGGCTAGCTACATGGGTATTGTGTTGTCGTAGCTACATGGGTATTGTGTTATGGTAGCTACATGGGTATTGCGTTAATGTAGTTACATGGGTATTGTGTTAGGGTATCTACATGGGTATTGTGTTAGGGTTGCTACATGGGGATTGCGTTAGGGTAGCTACATGGGTATTGTGTTAGGGTAGCTACATGGGTATTGTAGCTACATGGGTATTGTGTTAGGGTAGCTACATGGGTGTTGTCTTAGGGGTAGCTATATGGTTATAGTGTAAGGGGAGACTACATAAATATTGCTGGTGTGTTACAGGTGGCTATACATAGACGCAGTGCTAGGAGTAACAACATACCCATTTCGCCCCATGTGAAACGGTTAATCTGTCCAGTTGTGCAATGGTATACACTCATGTTTTCTGGTCTAAAAAAATAAAGTGTTTTCAATATAAATTTCATTTAATAATATTTATATTTGCACTGCAATGTCACTCCATGTAAATCAAGTAATTTTTATTTCGGATCATCCGACTATGAACTGAAATGAGAAGTAATACAAATGTGACCAAAAAGAAAACAAAAAATACAGAATCCACGTTTTACTCGATCTTGTTTGGAATTTTTGAGCAAGAATTGGAACAAGGGAAGTGGTTTTTTCCCTAGATAAAGCCCTGCAGCTTGATAGAGACTTACTTGTGAACAGCTGTGTACCAGGCTGTAGCTATCATCATCTTGGAGGTAAAATCGACAGGGATAATGTCGGCAGTTGCGTGATGGTCTCCCTTCATAATCCGCAGTAAACCACATCCCATCTGTAACACAACAGGAACGATACAGTGCAGAGGTAAATTTAATGTCATATATTTCTAGTCCTGGGATTCTGAAGCTGTAGAATTCTTCTACCAGATGTTTTCTTCACTATAGGCTGGTACCACTTTGCTGTGAGCCAGTGTCACCTTTTATCAAATAATACCCAAATCTAAATTAAGATATAAATTTATCACAAAATTTACTGTGTTATCCAGTGAATATACCCATGCCATGTTCCTTTCCATATATATATTAACCCATGTTATATGACCTATCAGCCCTGTGATTGGATGTAAGTTTCAATTGTGACGTCACGCCTAGGACAAGTACATGATGTCACAGACTTACCCACCCGAGTCAAAACGGCGTTTTTTTACGTTTCAAGGTTGCATATAAAAAATTGTCATTTTACACGAAAAAAGTGCCACAATTCTTAATTATGTGATAATCTTGCTCTCATTTTCATTTTTTACATATGAAATCTATGTAACTCGTCACAAATTTTTTATATTAGCTCAACAGAGGCTCAAAGTTCTGAAGACTCGTTTCATAAATCTCATATGAAATGAAAACTTATGCAAGATCCTATACATCTATAAAACCCTGTAATATTTCATTGGATCTATAATATATTTTTCTTATCTGATTATATTACTTGTAGATCAAGTTATAATGATATATAATATTAGAAGATTAAAAATAATTAATTTGACCTTTTTTAATACATGTAAGTACAAACAAGCAACCTAATGATCACATTTGATCTACACCTGCTCGCTAGCCATGTAAGAAGTTCAGAATAGTTGTGTTACTTACTGCCGCTAGAAGCCCAGTCGGACCGTTGTAGTTGTCCACCCAGCCCTACAGGTAAGAAAATAACAGCAGATGCTTTCATAACTGATTATATGGGCATTTATAATACAAATTCTGCAAAATTGATCAAAAATTATTTTTTTGTAATTTTGCTAAGACAGACTAAATATTCAACATAGAGAAGTCCAGCTTTGCACACCAAGTCAAATCTGAGATATGTCTAAGTTAAAATACATGGCAATACCATGGAAACAAAATTAACTATTCAAGATATATTTTTCTGACTTATTTACATGTAGTATAAGTAGTTACCACATTCAACTGAATGAGGAAAGCAAATTTCCCAAAAAATAAACTAGAATATCATACTTACAGGTACAGGGTCGTCCCAGGTGGCCCCAACGATAGACGGACGGAAGATGGCGGTGGGGATGTTAGCGCACTCCTCCTTGACCAAGTATTCTGCTATAGACTTGGTGTAGGTGTAGGTGTTGGGCCGGTCACCAATCATCTTAGGGGTCAAGGCATCCAGTATATCTGTGTCCATCCAACTGTGTATGGAGGATAATGGAGATAATTAATGGAGATAATTAATGGAGGGTAATGGAGATAATTAATGGAGGATGATGGAGATAATTAATGGAGGAAAATGGAGATAAATAATGGAGGATAATGGAGATAATTAATGAAGGATGATGGAGATAATTAATGGAGGATAATGGAGGATAATGGATAGAAAGATGAAACAATTCACTGATGCATCACACTGTTTCATTGTTAGTTTTATGACTCAAAAAGTATTTCTACCAAATTTATAATTTTGGAAACTGATTTCAATAAATGGAATCCTATTTCTAGACCTCTGTGAGTGTGTGTTAATTATTATATTTATTATAACCAAGAGTCCAGCACTTAATTGTAAATTCACTTATTTTATAAATTATCATTAACATATAATTACTAGTACCTGCACATTCAGATTTAGCCAGAAATATATTTCATAAAATCATGCTTGAACAACATTAACTTTTGTATACTGTCAATTGTTTTCTCAGTGAATTTAGTCAACTTAGAATGCTGTGATGTGTATTCTATCACAATACATTGCAGTAAGGTAATGATTGTACGGGGAACATAAAACTGTGATCCTGTCCCTAGGGTATAATTTAGTAGTTGTTCAAATGAAAGCAATTCAATGATATAACCAATAATAAAATCTTCCCCTACTGTACAGTGTAATACGATGGAGATATCTCAACCTGAGGGTTTTTTACAAGCTGAGAGTTAGACAGAATCTCCAACGGAGGGTTCACATTTCTCTGGCATACCCTAAGTGTTTTGGAAGATTCTTTCCCTTCCCTACGAGGACTTACTTGACAGTGCTCAGGATGTAACTTCGAGTCAATTCTCTGTGAGGACTACTCATCAGTGCCCCAAGGATGTGAAACGTACTGTGAGTTAACGACAATATTCAAGTCAATTATCCGTGAGGACTGACTCAACAGTGCCCCTATGATGTTACACGCTCTGTGAGTTAACGACAATATTCAAGTCCATTCTCTGCGAGGACTGACTCATCAGTGCCCCAATTCAGGATGCGACAGGTACTGTGAGTTAACGACAATATTCGAGTCAATTATCCGTGAGGGCCGACTTATCAGTGCCCCTAGGATGTTACACGCACTGTGAGTTAACGACAATATTCAAGTCAATTCTCCGTGAGGACCGACTCATCAGTGCCCCTAGGATGTTACACGCACTGTGAGTTAACGACAACATAAAGACTTACTCGACAGCATCCATAATCTTGTTGGGATGTAAAGGTGGTTCGTATATCTTTTCTTCAACATTCTTCTCCTGGTTACAGTTGGCATAAGCGGTAGACACATGGAGTAAGGCCTGAAAGACATACCAATAACTTATTTTTCCTTCGGTCCAGGTGAGCTAAAAACGTATGGTTTCACTTCAGCTGGATTCCCTCATATTCAAAAAACAATTATTTCCAATTAAAAGAACACAATGTCACTTTTCAGTTATTATCATGTTTTCTTGACGCACTGTTTTTTCTGATTTATAATCTATGAAACTCAATTCTTTTATTTGTACTTCTTCTGATGGCCATTTTACTTAATATAACTTTATTTTGGCCACTGTCACAAAAAATCACAAGTAAATGATGATAAGAATAATGGTTTATATAAATGCCCCCGCGTTCTGGTGTCACATCTTGACGCGTTATGTAAACAAGGTCACGACCTCGAGGTTTTGTTACGGTAAATTTTGGTTCTTACCTGGATGTTTTTGAGTTTTTTACAGAAAGATATCACTCTACTAACTCCTACGACATTCATTTCTACAGAAAGTCTGAAAGAAAGCAGAAAAAAACAATTTAATACACAAAACAGGAAAATTCTTCAAAACACCAATTAAACATGGAAGTCGATCATCCCAAAAATATACATCTATAGCATGTGTCGAAATCTACTGCTCCAGAAAGATAATAGTTTAGGTGTGAACTTGTTATATACATGTACCATAAAGTATTCTATCTCAGCCATGAGGATCTACTGTATGTTACTTCAATGACGTGGCTTACAGTTGTTGGTTTTGGGGGTATAGCGTAGCAAGCCACGAACTATGAGCTCTAACGTATCTAAGAAAACTGAATGTTCTGACCCCAAATACATATTGTGTATGTATACATGTGCAAGTGGTAAAAATTGACAAGTGTAAGATATCGTTTTTACACTTAAGTGCACAAATATTGAATTGTTGAACAAAAGCTAGACTTACTTCATCAGTTCATCAAACTTGACGGTGGCTGCGGAATGAAATACAACAGTTACATCTCTAATGAGGCACTTCTCATCTGTTTCACACACTCCTAGGTTGTCATGGAGAATGTCACCGGTCACTGGGTACACTTTGTCCCTGTAATTGGGCTGTACCTTAACTAAATTGTCGAAAATCTGAGGAAACAAAGGAAAACTGTGAAAATGGTATGTCATGCATAAAATAGAATGAAAAGAAATGCATAAAAAGGCCGAACAGAAGCAAAAAAAATGGTGTTTTCGGTAACCCTACCTACCTGAATTTTTAGTGCCTACCCTAAACTTTTTAAGGCAATATTCAAAGAAGCACTGTTAAAGTCAAGACCACTCTCCCATATAAACCACATAAAATTATTTTAAAAAACAAAACTTGTTACCTACCTACATGTACCTAACCTAATTTTTTCCAATATATTATAGGAAACACATATATTTTTTTGACTGGCCTAACCAATTTTATAGTCACAGATATGCCAATTACCTGAACTTGAGGTAGTGTAAGTTATAATGTCAAACCCCTTTATAATTTCAAATTTTGTTTGACAAATGTTTTACTGAATGATAATGGACCTTGAAATACTGTTACCTATTAGGGTGCAAAGGTATAATTGAGCAGCACATATGTACACAACTTTTTACAATGGCATGTGTCACTGGGTGGTTTACACTGCAGTATTTAGGTAATACAATGTACATGTACTTCACTAATAGGCTAAAAAAACTTATATGCTGGGTATGTGTTTCAGGTAACATGCCCAAAAAAATAGGGTAGGCAAATCATTTCATTTTAATTCAAATTTTTCGTTAATTAATATTATGCTTTTGATCAAATTTTACAATGTATTTCCACACATGACATTGGCTATTAATTTGTCAAGAATGGGGTAAGACTCCCATGGCCAGAACAAGACGAAAGTACATTTTAGGAGGAGTAGCTGTGAACTTTGCCTGGCTAATAGATTAATCTTAGATACAAGTTGGTGATAAAATATCTAGGGTCAGCAGTCAAACCTAGGGTAGGTCGGGACTCCTGAAACACACATATTTTTGTTTGGCCCTAGTTCACATGAGTACTACATGTACTTAAGTACTCTACAGTGAATAACCCAGTGCCATAACCCTATACAATTGCCACACTCATTTTTGAGTTGAGTTGGAGTATCGCCTCAATCTCACTTACTCTACTCACTCTGGGGGTTAAATATCACATCAACTCCCTTTGCTATACTCACTTTAGAGTTGAGTAGCTCCTCAAGTCTCTGGCTGACTTCCTTGCCCTTTTTGGGTCTGATGAGGATGTAGACCCGCCGGATGTCCGGACATGACCTCAGCAGTTTTTCCAGTAGGGCTTTGCCCATAAAACCTGTGGCCCCCGTGATGAAGACACACTTGTCCTGGTAATACTCTGGGATCGAGGGAACAGCTGCCATGTTGACAGTTAATGCTAGAAGTGAACAAAAAATATAATTTAAATAATACCAATTTCCTCAAGTAAAGTAAAACAAATATTGAATCATCTTTACACCAGAGTTTTGTTCCTTATAACTTATATGGTTGTTCCCTTAACCCATTCACCCCTGAAATTTCACAATGGACTATTCCAACCTTTGAATTGGAAGATTTCAAATGTGTCTTCAGGGGTGAATGAGATAATAAATCATAGAAAAGATATATAGATTTCCCATTTTTAAATATATCTACAATGTATTTGTTTCATTTGATTTTTCTGCAATAGACGTTGTTATAACTTGGACAAGGACATAAGCATGATTAATCAATCAATCAATTAATCAAGCAATCAATTAATCAATCAATCAATCAATTAATCAAGTAATCAATCCATCAATCAATCAATCAAGCAAGCAAGTGTATCTTTCAACAGAAATGAGAAGTGAATGTCATACAGTGACTACCGTCTATAGGTCAGCCTTGAAATTGGTCAGATTTTTATTAATGAAACCAATATCAAATATAGCTAATTATTAGCCTTTAATGCTGTCAGCAGAAAATCTGAGGATACAGTTCATTAGATATGTATATTGAGGACATAGGCAATACATGCATAGGTAACCTTTGAAATTTTGAAGAATTGTAACAAAGGTCTATTTAGAAAGGTGTACAATTACCATGATATACCTGGTTAAATCTGAACAATGAGGACGACTGATTTATATAACTATACATGTGAGATAACGAACCCAATGAATGATATGCTAGTGAGACTGTTAGATTGTGTACTTTATATTGACCCTGAGCTTTGAATGACATTGTGTCCAAATGTTTGTAAGTACAAGGATAAACCAATCATTGTGATTGAAAGCGCAACTGTTCATGTACAGAGACTTTGGCCCTGGAGAGAAGTACATTAAAATCACTTATCTAACCATGAACTCCTGATGTACTCCATCTATAACAATTCACTCACTGTTACCTTGATAATCTTTTACTCTAAGTAGCCACATACCTGTAGCCTCATTTAAAAATATAACCTTTTCACACATAATACCATCCTGATAAAGGTATGGGCACAGCGTGATATCAGCACAGCTTGATATCAACACAGATAGTATATACCGATCCTTGTTAATATGGGTCAGTGTCACATCAGGTGATCCTCTCAAAAATCTGATAATGTACTTTACAAATCTTCATTGGTGCACTCTTTCATACTTAGGCAAAAAAACAAACTGTTTCACTTGTAACCTTGTAACATGCCTTTAAAAAATAGGGTATGTTGGTAGGCAAATACTTTTATTATAATGTATTTTTTTTTATTTTTCGTGAATTAATTTTATGCTTTATTTCAAATTTTACAATGCATTTCCACACATTACAATGGCTATTAATTTGTCAAGAATAAGGTCAGAGTCCCAGGACAGGAAGAAAGTAAATTTTAATGAGTGGCTGTGAATTTATGTAATTTATCTTAGATACAAGTTAAGTGATGAAATATCTAGGGTCGGTCGTGATACCCGAAACACACATATTTCTTTTTACTATAAGAGTACTAGCTACCCCCCTGATTAGGCAGATTTTGAAAAAACATCTATACTTGCTTGACATATTTTCAATAGTACATATTGGAAATTTTCAATGGTAGACCTGACAAGAAAATCTACTAACCCCGGCCATTAGGCTAGCCATATTGTATAGCCCTGTCAAATAATTATTGTCAAATGATTAGGAAAAGTTTAAGTTGCAAGTGTAATCTATAACTGCCATGAAGTATTCATGTATCCCTAATTATAGTAATCATCAGCTGCACGCAAGAACAAACACACACAAATAAATGCTCACTTATCATCTATTCATTTGTTAATCTGAAGGGGCACCAATGTACGAAGATGTGAACTGCAGATAACTGTGGAGAAAGACAGTTGAATATTTCGTACACAGAACTTCAACTTTTTAACTCGTCAAAAGCCTCAAACCCATTATTTGGGGTGAAATTATAAGACTTGCATTAAACCAAAAAGAATCTCGAAAAGTGGATACAGTGCACATGTCTAAGATTTCACTTTTTATAACTTTATAGCTGAACTGGACTGGGTCAATCACCAGTGACCAGGAGCTTGTTACCCTGTATCAGCCGTCACGATCACTGCGGTCGGAGTCAGAATCTTTGTTGCGTGTCCCAAAATCTTGTACTGTGACCTACGGAAACATATGCTTTGGGAGGGTTTCGGCTACGTTGTGGAATAGCTTACCATCTACTATTAGAAAGTCAAATACTCTAGCCAAGTTTAAGAGGGATATCAAAACTCACCTCTTCACGTCTGCATTTTAGAATATTTGCAAAGACGTCATATAAATACCACCCTTTTATTTGTTCAATTATTTGCACATTGCTTGCTTAAATGTATAAAAGTGATTGTAAGCCTTTGATTTTTGTTTTCATAATTATAATCATTACTATTATCCATATGTTATAAAACGCTTTAGAGTAATTTTACAAATTACATAGGGTGCTATATAAATGTTGTATATTATTATTATCAGGTACTTCTAAATGGTAATGACCAACTTCAACAAGTTGAAGATAATGTCATGAGGGAGAAAGAGATTTAGTCGATTCAGAGAAAGCCAAAATGATATATACATGTATATAGATTTAATTTTGAGGGTACAGTGACAGGAGAGCAGATTTAAAAGATTCAGTAGTAGAACAGGAGGATATGATATCTGGTGGGATCTTATTCCACTCAGATATTGATCGTGGAAAGAAGGATTAGCCAGAGTTTCCTCAAGCTCAGAGGTAGCTCAATTGGTAGGAGCATCTGTCTAGAGTTTAGAGGTCCCTAGTTTGAATCCTCATCCAGCTGGTGTGTTATAGAACTCTTAAAGGCCTCCAAATAAGGGGCACATATTACGTCATCTTCCAGGTGGTTCCACTCTATAACTGTACGTACGAAGAATGAGTTGTTGTATTGATCACAGTTGTACTTTGGTACTGTATAAGATTTTGTGTTATTTATAACTGATGCTTCCACCACATTATTTGATATATAGTCCGAGAAGTTTCTGGCCTTGATATTCCTTTTCGGTCTGTTTTTTGTTAGATGTTCAGCTGGAGGTATAGCTGGTATCAACCCCTCAACCACCTTGTACATAAATGTGACCCTCTGTTGTGAGTTTGTCCAGCATCCTTGTGATACATCCATCTTCCCTTATGTATATATATCATAAAGATAAATGTACTGTATTGCTATTTTAGCCATAGGAACCAAAAATGCTCTTTGTAAGTAAATAATATTAAACATTGTCTGTATTTAAATTTCGTGGTTAATTTGACCTTTGTTACTTACTAGCCTGAGTTTTCTCTGGCCCTGACACCAGACTTAAGACATTTTGACAGATAGCTATATATTTGTCTGGTGTCAGGGCCAGAGGAAACTCTGGCTAATTACTTACGGACAGAATTATATGTTCTTTTGCTGTGAGCGAGTTCTTATATATAACATCAGTTCTTGTCAGTCAGTACATAGCTTATATTTTTGCCATGTGTCTTATCTACTTAATTAACTGTAGATGGGCGTGTCCTGATCCTTTGGTGTCATCCGATCACCTGTCGCGTTGGCATGACTAAATGAGTGATATTTTGTAAACATAGTGGTTAAAACTGATTTCGTTTTTTAAACAGCTCAACATAACAGTCTAATCCATGGTTGTTTTGTTCTCAAATGTTATCTTTGATTTCGACGTTCACTAGTTAGAGAAATTTAAAAACTTACCCTAAATCTCGAAAATGTCAACAGTTCGGCTTAGACATGTTCCCAAAAAGGAAGTACTTAATCAGCGACGTCTATGAATAGTGTCATATTTCCAAGGGACGCAACCCTTTTACTTTCGTTTTGTCGATGCGATTTGAACCACAGGTACATATATATAACGTATAATACTACGAATATAATTCCATCTATATATTTAACGTCTGTCTTATGTATTTGCTTCCCGGTACTGCAGCTTAATATCTGGCAATGTACAGCTGGTAATAAATGGTTTGTGCTGAATCCTTCTGAAAAATATATAGTTTAGCATATGAACTTTACATTTTTGAAAAATATTTTATACAGATGTAAAATATTTTATATTGATGTCAAGTAGTGAATTGGCTTAATATTAAAGTTTTGTCAAAATACAAGCCATTTATTACGGTTTTTTTCACGGTTTTTTTCACTTTATTCCTTGTACTACCCTGTAGTTTAAATTCTTGTATCTGGTACCTTTTTGTTTTTCATTTAGACAAATTTCTTTTAATCAATTCAAATCACAAATTCCAGTTGGGAAGGGGAGTCTTGCAAATGCAGTGCTTGTTCTTGATCTGTGTTAAAATTACTCTGCAGCTTTTTATGTTTATTTCCAGGTTAGTGCTTATTGGACACTGCCTTAGTGCTTATTGGACACTGCCTTAATTTGCTTTTACATTATCCTTATTTATCTTTAAGTGCTTTCTTATGGTTTTCAGTTGTCTCTTATTTAGCATGTTGATTATAATTGATGTGTTGGCATGAATTTCTAGCTTTATATGTCATGTCATAGTACTGTGGTGTCTCTTTCTGTGGTATGAATTAAGTCTTTCAAGTTTGCAATGTGTTGTGTAGATTTTAGAATATAGATGTAGTTGTTTAACATTTTACATACCTTACTATAATATTGTGATATCCATGTCTAGTCGGTAAAAAGCACTTTAGAGCTAATGTTATATGTTACAAATTGTCCGACTCTAAATAAATATTATTTGATTTGATTTCTCTACCTAAATTTATCTAATTAGTGTAACAGTATGGAGTAAAGCAAATGATAGGTACTTCTGCTGAGGATTGAACCAGCAACCTTGGCCTACAGACTTAATTCCTGACTGATACTCTGCCAATGAGATTTTCCTTGAGCTGGAGTTAGTAAGTTGACTTAAATTTGACACAGTTATGTTTAATGCATGCACACATTCTTTTAGCCGAAGTTTCCTCTCGCCCTGTATGACACCAGACCTAGGGCCTGTTCATTTATGCGGAACAACCGGTTACATCCGTTTTTAAATGTAACATTTTTGGGTATAAATATCGGTAGACCTGCAAATGTTTATGCAGGCCTTGCAAGGCTTTGTCAAGGCTCATTTGAAAGCAGCATCAGATTACTGGGTCCAATCTTATTTCATAAACGAATAACTCTGGTCCAACCGTTTGGACCGCGATAAACGAAAACGGCCTTAGACATTTTGAGAAATTAGGATGTCAAAACTCGGGGGCAGAGGAAACTCGGGCTAACATCCTTTATTCTCCGAGTAAGTTGACAAAGAACATATATTAATATTGAAAAAAGGACAATAAAACCTGATTTTTACTGTCAACAACTTGTCCAATTTATTTCCACATTCACCCATATATATTAAAACATATGTCAGATTTACTAAAACCAAATAAAAATTGGCTGCAATTAAAATAGTAATCACAGGAGTCCTGATCAAATGAACTTCAATAGAAAAACACATTGTTGCCTATGATTTAACTGTGATCAGGATTTTTACCAAACAATATTCAGTACATTTGCATATGATTTTAGGTTCATGTACACCATTGTTCATTCAATAATAAAACTGACTTCAAAGTGCGGTGTTTAGTCAACTAGATTAGCTATTATATTTTTAAATATTTACCGAGGTTATAAACATAACTGACTTAAAGCAAAGATGTAACTATTCAATATATTTAGTACTGTGTACTTCAAAGAAACAATAATAGATATAATTGTACATATGAACAAAATATCTCGAATTACATGTTATTTTTATTAAATTAAAGAAAAAACAGAACTTCTGTACTTTTCTTGTGCTTTTTTCTAAGCAAAGCTAAAAAATCAGATTACTTGTTCAAAGAAAAGCAAATACTTCATGGGCGATTTACAACACTGAAACTTCTACATCAATCTCATATCATATTGATGTAAATCAGATTTACAAACAAGTTTGTATTTAATATACAGCACAGCATGTAGAAACCTAGATAACATATATACCCCAAACCTTCATTTAACTCATTCACCCCTAAAATTTCATAATGAACTATTCCAGCCTTTGAACTGAAAGAGTTCAAATGTGTCTTCATGGATGAATGAGTTAATAATATCATCACTTGAAAGTCCTTTTCCACCTACAGGAAGGATTAATATGTAAACAAAAACATGGCTTGGCAATCATATTTTATTGTAACATAAAATGTATTTACTGACAGTATTACAAGTCTAATGGACCGGACATGCCTATATAAATACCTAAACAAGTCCTATGCAGAGACCTGAGCATTATTAAATTTGCTCCTAGATTTATACACATTTAGCCTTAAACTCACTATATGTATCGGAGAGCCATTAATTAGTTTTACATCACAATAACAGTACTGAGAACACATGTCCACTCCCTGTCCATTCTTTTTATCATCATTACGCATGCCACTTTTTATCATGTGTAATTAATAAACTGCAACAGAACTAATGTCAAGAAAAAATCTTTAATTCATGATCATGCAATAAATATCAAGTGCCACTGTATGACACGAGGACCAGTACACTTCCTATGCCAAGTGAAATACAGTGTACTACAAAAAATGACTGTAGCTTAAATACACCGGGCTATATATATTGTAGATATATACATGTATAACACCAGACATATGTAACAAAATGGGAAAGGCTAGCAGATTATGGATAAGAAAACACTGTACTCGTTCCTTTGTAAAAGATAAATGCTTTCGACACTGTTTATGGCGTATAGTTAAATAAAAACAAAGCAAACAATTGGACGTTTTGACTGAAAGTTAACTTCAGTATATCTGTGTATACATTGTACTCTGGTGTGCTTCTTGTATATTTCTATCGTAATATAAGTAACTTAATTCTATTGTAATATAAGTAACTTAATTCTATTATAATATAAGTCACTTAATTCTATTATAATATAAGTCACTTAATTCTATTACAATATAAGTAACTTAATTCTATTATAATATAAGTCACTTAATTCTATTGTAATATAAGTAACTTAATTCTATTGTAATATAAGTAACTTAATTCTGTTGTAATATAAGTCACTTAATTCTATTGTAATATAAGTAACTTCATTCTATTGTAATATAAGTAACTTAATTCTAATCTATTATAATATAAGTAACTTAATTCTATTATAATGAGTACATGTATTTGTATGTATAACTTAATTTTGATGAAAATAAAATTTCATTTATTTCAGATTAAAACAAATCGTTAAAGCTAACATAGTAAAATTTCATACTTTGTGTCTGAATTAATTAAAGAATTTTACCCATGAGCACGAACATAAATGACAAAGAAAAGAACTTGAGCAGGACTCTATACAGTAGTTAACCCCTCGCAATGTGAATTAAAAAAACTTACATTTTTAAAACACTGAACAGTAAAAATGTTTCCATTAATACAAATGAAATACACATGTACCATACAACAAATAAAACCTAAAACAACCATTCACCATTGTGTTTACATTCAATGTCATTCAGCATGCACTTGTTAACTCATTCACCCCTGAAATTTCATAATGAACTATTCTAACCTTTGAATTGGAAGAGTTCAAATGTGTCTTCAGTGGTGAATGAGTTAAGATGCATGTCGATGAAATTCAAACACCTGATTTTAGAGCGAGTGCAATCAAGTGTAAGAGGTAAAATATCATTACAACAGTATTATATTATGCAAAGCTAGTTCACACCAACCTTGCTAATTGAGTAGACTTTACCATTTTCTTATTGCTAATACTTATGAACTAGTGATCTGCACTGCTGAACCCTGTAACTGTTGTCCGAAGTGATTCTCCCTACTTTACCCTGGTAAAATATTCTTTGTCAACCATCTCTCTCGACTACATAAAAAGTTCCTATAGCACTGCAGTAGTGTTCACCGATTGGATGTTTACATGTATTCATTATAATATCTTCTTTATAATGATAAATAACCTAGATAAAATAGAATATATATGTCTTATTCGCCATGAATATTGATTGTAAGAAATATGCAATAGAATGAATATAGTGCTTTTTACCAGCCAAAATTGCCTTTGATTTCTGATAGAGTAATCTCCCTTGACCTCATTAAGTTCATTAGCATTAAGAATCCCTGTCATTGCATACTGAAGGCAAATAACTAGAATATTCCACTAGTTTTTTGCACATAAAGTAACCTTCCCTTAATTTGTTTTCTAATATAACTGTAGTACAACTAGGCCCAGGTACTACTGCTGACCAGGAGGCCGAGACGGACCAGCGTTATGAGGTCCTGGGTTTGAGTCAGTCTGGCCCCGTAGCATTATGAGAGTCAGAACACTGTTGTAGATTCTGTTTTGTTTATTTAATCTTTTTTTTAACAATTCATAAAAGTTGTTGTACTAGTTTCTTGTACAGGGCATGCATGTCACAAAAAAATAGCATTTATACATAAATAACCAAACACAAATGTTTGGATTCATCAGGGCTAATAAATAGGTTACACCTGGTAAGTGCCCCCTTCCCCTAAAATTATTCTTAACTTTTCAGCACTCATAGCATATATACACTGTGTATAATACAAAAAACAAGTACAATAACAAGTATTCTAAAAATCGTTTGTTTGGAAAATCAGTTTTAACTAGGTTTCTACTTCTACAGTGCTAATATAACGGGTAATGAGGACACTTCAGACCTGTCTAATACAACCACCTGTATTGAAAGACCACCTGTCTTCTACAACACTGCTAGAGAAACCCCATTCTCTTCATTGACTTTAATTGTTAGGTACACTCATAACAGTTTAAATATATACATATCCAAATAGACCAAAGTTCCTCAAATTAATATCGTCTATGAGCAAGAGTACATTGAAAAATATTGCCGCTTTCATTTTTAAAGCGAATGAAGTCAGGAATAATAACTTATTTAATCAGGAGTAACGTCCGCCCTGATGTCGTGAAACCTGCTTTTAAGTATGGAAAGTCACTGTTTTACTTTATTATATATTTATGTAAATTTGATGCATTGTACCACTACATATATCCTTGTGTATATATGTAATGTATTTCACATAGACATTTGTGTCTATTTCTGAATAAAGAAGATTTATACATAATTGTACATGTCTTATCTATTGTCTTTAAATGTCAACAAAAGCCTTAACAAAAACATCATCAGATTCCCAACGATTCCTACAGCTTTATTCGCTCAATGTTTTGGATCAATACAACATTTTGCCTTAGATAAATATTCCTTGTGTTTTTTTCATCCAAGTGCATTAACTCACTCACCCCTGAAGACACATTTGAACTCTTCCAATTCAAATGTTGGAATAGTTCGTTTCGAAATTTCAGGGAAGAATGAGTTGAGAACCAAGATTATTATGACAAAATTCTCAACAAGAAATTTCTGCTACAGTATATATATATGATGTGGTTAATACAAACATAGGACTCATACAATATGTGACTGGGATGTTCCTAAAAAAAGTCTCACAATCAATAAATCATCTCACTTTTATGCACTAAGTTTTTCTGCTCCTGCGTTCCTCCACCACAGAAACAAGAGTTTAGTTCGACAGGTTTACAGTTCAAAGGTCACACATCATCATCAATTTCTAATCACACATGGAATGACTCATTAACTTTTTCTCATAAATGCCACATTTACTTCTCTCATAAATGCCACATGTAAAGATGAAATATGATTCTAAAGGCAATCGGACAGACTGTTAACTAGGAGAGTAAAACACACAAGAAAAAGAACTACATAAACTTCTACACACTGGGATCAACAATGGTATATAATTAAACGGATCAGTTAAAGTTTGATCCATAAAATGTGAATCAGGTGAGCTGGGATAAGTACTGTATACTTGGTACATGTATACGATTGTTATTAGGTATACCGTAAAAGCATATATTTTTGTTGGGGTTAGATATTGTTGTATTTGTATGGGGTCAAATTCGTTGGGATTATATTTCATGGAATCAATATTGTAAAAACCTTGTATTTTTTTCTGGTAAGTAAGAAGTTCAACTGACAGGCGTGACGACACAGTGCAGGTAAATATAGTACAGGTATTTAAGATTGGGTGAGATTTACTTACTCGATGGGTATCGGTCAAATCCGTCACGATCTATAGCGTACATACAAAGAGCAACGTACACAAAAATGAATGTATAATTTGTTGACTCACACAGACGTACATGTATCTTGTCAGTAGTTCTTACGATAGCAGACAAGAAACATGTCCCTCTTAAATGGTTACAATCACCCAAAGTTTATATTTCGTGTTTTTAAAATTTTGTTGGGACTATATTTCGTGGTTTTTATAAAACCACGAAATAAAAACTATAAAAAAAACGAAATTAAATCCCCACACAAAATAATATGCTTTTACAGTACAATGTACTGCAGTGTGTGAATTTGTATCCAAAACTTTTTCTTAATTTCTGGAATCACTTGTAGAGTAAAGAATATTTGTTGGGTGCAATTTGTAAGCTGTAACTGCCCATCTTGTTCCATTGTAAGTTCATAAATCGACTCATGACTGAGTTTATCATCAAATTATTAAGTGTCATACATAAATACTGAAAACAGTCATGGACGTATCAAAGTTCACTCAAATAGACACATTCCATTCAAAAATTTTAGCACCCAGAAAAAACACCAGGATAGAATTTTAACAATGAGTGGGGACCAAGCTTAATAAATAATTCAATTAGAAACCAAAGAACAGCTTATTCATGATCAAATCTTGAATCTGGCATACGATGAACATTGAAGAAAAAATAAATATTTTAATACATTTTACATGTCAATGAAACATCAACATACAGTAGACTAGAATGTTTTTTTAACTCATTAATAATGCATTTCCTTTTTTTTTTTTTTTTTACAATAGGTGATGTTTATAAGCACAGCAACAGTCATTTGAACCAGCCAAAATCATGAAATGTTATGAAACACTACCAGATTATCTCCCCTTAGATATACAACACCGACTCTAACAGGGTCGAAACATTTTAAGAAAGATAAAATTTTCAAAATTAGCACTACTTGCTGATAATATACTACCAAAAATTTAGACAGCATATATAACCGAGTAGATTTTTCAAAAGTACATAATTATTATTAATTGAGTTGCTGGTGGAATAAAATAATCTGCTTTGACAGAAAATCATGTTAATTTAACACTTGTTAGGTTATTACATCAATGGACTGAGAATTATTTGGCAGTGAAATAAAATACTGTTATTTGATTTAAAGTGAATTATAAATATTAATGTTCACATTCCTAATTTACTTTGATCAATAAAGAAGAAAAAAAAATGAGTCTGAATTGAATGGGCCTGTATCGCTCACCTGTTTTTCATTTCACATGTGTGACCTTAAAAAAGGGGTCAAGGTCAAACATCAAAGTGGGCTAACTTTCATTACTGTACACAGCAGGAGTCTTTGTTCTGAAGTTGTATTTCAGTGCACCATAAGAATCTTAGGGGAAAGATTTATAGGCTGAACTTCAAAGTTGTTCTAGGTCTGATTTTGGTAGCTTGGTGGCAGATACCAATCATTGCCTATATTTAACTTTGACCCCTTGGGTGTGGCTGTATTTATGAACCCAGGGGCCGGATTCTACACCCATAGAGTTTATTAAAGATGAAATATCAAAGCTGTGACATTTCTCAGCCTGAAGAAAGTTTTGTGGCTCAGTGCACAATTACAATTTAACCCACATTAAATCTGACCCCTAGGTGTGACAATATTTACGATCTTTGTGCTAGGAGGGCTAACATGACCTACCTACATCGTATTGAAGTAGCAAAGGTTGAAATCAGCGCCGCATTTAAACAAAATAAAAATTCATACAATTAGTTCTTGTGTCCTGTTTTTGGTACAATATGAATATGAATATGAATATCTAAAGTTCACATAGATTTAAACACACACAAAAAATGGGGGGGAAAACCCTTAAAATACCAGCTCTATGTAATAGGGGCAATATTTACAGAGGTTCTGGCTGAAGAACTGTTTTGGCTCGACAGATACCAATGTAACTGTACACCTGGTAAGACATATGTGGCTTTTAAATTGTTCATTGTTGAAGTTCATCTAAACATTTACAAAACTAAGCAAGCACCTGTCAAGTAATGCGAATCAGCTGTGAAAAAAGAGGGCAGAACAAATACTTCATCGGAGGTATGGTGGCCATATTGGATTTCAAAAAAGATATTTTTTCACTCTGGAAATAAAATCAGTCCAGCTACCTAGGACAGTTTATAACTAAGTGGAATTTGATAACTGATCTTCATTTCTGATTATTTTAGTCCTTCCTAACTTCATTTTTTCTGTATACCATGGGCATTCAGTAATATTTCACACACACTCCAACATATTATGCAAATATGAATATGAATGCGAGTATCATTATTCTCTTTTATTTCTATTAATTTATTTCTATGTTAACATTGTTGTTTTAACCCTTTCACCCCTAGGTAACTTTAGTAGACTCTACCATACATTATTTGGATGAGTCCATTGTGGTGAAAAGGTTATATACTTAACATGAATTCAATGGTTGCCTCCACATACAAGAATATTGCAAATCCTTTCCAGAGTGAGTTATTATGGAGTGTCACAAATATGTCTGAGGGAACTGCAGTCTGGGAACAGATTACTGTGTAATATATATCAGCATGCAAGCTTCTGCACAAGATATGTATTAGTGTAAATACTTGACACTGACACTAAATTGTACATACGCTGTGTCATATTTAAAACCGACTTCATTAGCACCCTGGCTAATGTGTAGAATTGTATTTACTGAATGTTCCCGGTATGGAAAATATACCAACAGACAATATCATTCCTGTAGTTGCATAAAGACGGTGAAATCTCACACCCTCAAAATACTTTTACATTCAACACAATGTTTTTTTGGGGTTTTTTTTTACACATCATGGAAATATTTAAAACCTTTACAGAACAATGCGCTTTCAATCAACCTAATTTACTGACAAATTTCAAGATATTTATCTCCAATTCAAACTTACAAGGATAAGCAACTTACTGTCCTTGAGATGCTGTGAATATTATTATATAATAAGTGCGGTATTCCTACACAGATTTGTTGACCCAAGCTTAATCATTATTTTAGTTTTGTTTACTCTGCTTTAAATTCATGTAAAACAAATGTTAAAAATTGACATTAACATTAATATCCAGATAAAACATTGTTGTTGTACCTGTAAGTAATTTTAATCATTTATAATACTTCAATCTAAATTAAAACTTTTTCTTGATTTTTTTTATAAATGCATTTTTTAGGGGATATTAATTTTTTTGTATCAGAAATTAAAATGTTGGTACATGTATTAAAATTTGAACTGCTCTCTTAATAAATGTCAAGATTTCTGTTCAGCCTGCTTTCAAAATTTTTCAGAAAGTAAGCAAGTTGACTTATGATATTTTTAATGCCAAATGTAAATCAGAAATGTCTTTCCGAGAGTATGTCACAGGTTCAGCACATTTGACATATCAATTTTTGTGTTTTTATACATTTCATCATAGAATATATCGGGGAATAACTGTTTAAGTCACTAATCGTTGACTACAAAACATGCATGAACATTTACTTTAAATACAACACTAAGAATTACTAAAAAAAAAATCACAATTTCGGTCAATAAAAACTTTTAAACACCACATTCAATAGATGTTTTAAATATGCTGACAATATGAACACAGCACTTCTTTGATAAGATTACATATAATACGTACAAATATATATGAAAATAAATATTATCTTAAATGGCACAAAACCATGGTTTGCCTGATGTTAGTAAAAGATTGATGTCTTTGGAATATTGAGCTCCTGACCCACAGCCATTGGAGTGAGACAGTCGAAGCTATGAGGGGTAATCACTTGTTGGCTTTGGCGCTCGCTCTTGTTGTTGGCCGAACCTTCTCCGGTTTACTAGTGATGTTGAAGCAGTAGATTCCGAGGAAATCACAGATTTCTTGGCACACCCCTTTTGAGTACCACACAATATCTACGGTACAGTATATCTGTAAAACACAGTAAAATGTATTTTTCTAAACATTTCCTCCAGGTTGGTTAGTATAGATTGTGAAAAGATTCATTTAACAGAAGTGTTTATATGTGACATTTCAATGACTAGTATGGTATGTATTAATCTGTCACCTTCATCAGGCAAATGACCAGTGAAGCTTATGTACACAAAGGTGTAAAATATGTACAAGTTGCCTACAAATCGATGTGGATTAGACTTTCGCACATCTATGACCAAGTATTAAACAAAGCGTAGCTGAATTGAGTCATTTCGTTACATATATAACAATTAATTGTGCATACGCTTACAGCATATATACACAGCCGAATCAACATCAATTTGTGGACAACTCATACATATTTTACACATTTGTGTACATATGCTTCACTGGTCATTTGTCTGATTGAGCTTAAAGACAACTTTCCCCTAGACAAGTCAATGACAGAAATATTGTACGCTGGTAAAACTTTAGCACTATTGAAGTGAATATATCATCAGAGGGTTAAAGAGGGAGCTTGTAATTATCAAAGTTTGTAAATAATGTATGATAACCAATTACTATGTATGTACATGATTGTGTATAATTTAAACCTAACTTACACAGCATATCCATAAAAGGAGGTACTCTGGAACCAGTACGTTGAAATACTGATTAAAAAACAACATGGCTGGCCCGAACAGACTGGAATCCAGCATGGCCATCTCACTCTTTGTCATGTGTGCTATCTGTAAAATTATGATGCATACTTTTATATTAAACAAAGGTACGTAGCAAACAAATAGGAATAAGATTCATCAGTTTGGTATGAAAAATAATTAAAGACTAAATTTGATTTGAACACAAACAGGAATTGTGGGAATGAAAATTCATTTTGCGATTTCCTGTTTCCTTTGTGCAAATGACCGGTGTCTCAACTCTCAACGGCTGAAAACATCTCACTAAGACAAAGTGGGTCGAATTAAATAAAGTCAGCTGTCAAAAATCTGGGACATTTTGCCAAATAGTACTCCGATACTGCAGGCAGTCGGGAACGGGTAATATGTCTACCCATTTTGCCCCTTAGTGGATGTTAAGATAGGGTCATAAAGATGACTCAACTGGTGGCCCCCTTCGTTTTATTTCCAAAAATGTTTCCTAAGTCTGTCTGAACTTTTGTCTTTAAAGAACATTGAACTGAACTCATTACTGATTTTTTTTCCACAGAAGAAAGGCTCAAATGAGGCTGAGTTTCCAGTAGAATTATTCCATTACTTTTTTTTGAAACAAAGCAGTGGAAATGAAATTTTTCTCTTACAAATGGACAGTGGAAATAATAATACAGTAGTAGTGTTGTTATCTTTAACTTTCTTGTGGCTACACAGAAAATGTTCCTTGATAATGTACCTTTTGTCTAATTTCTAGTGTTTATTTGGCCATAGTGACCACAAAAACTGTTGGAAAATAAATATACATATTCTGTAAGTTGGCAGAGGTACCACGAAGACATGATTAAGTCCCAAAAACTTTGTTAAAATTTAGATTGGAATCTAGTACATGTAGGTAGATATGGTGAAATTCAGTGCATTATTTCTACAAACTTCATATTCCACTCAACAGGTTCTGTTTGACAACTTAAAATTACTGTAGTAACTGTTTTAGTTCAGACTGGGCGATCTGTCATATTAGGTTTTTGGTTTGGTTTGTTTGTGTTTTACATCCTATAACTAACAGCTATCGTTATTTAAGGACGTGCCAGGTTTTGGTGGTGGAGGAAAGCGGAGTTCCCGGAGAAAAACCACAAACCTGCGGCCAGTACCTGGCGACTGCCCCACATAGGTCTCGAACCCGAGACCCAGTGGTGGAGGGCTAGTTGTAGCAGAATGTCATATGCCTTAACCCTTTCACCACTGAAGACCATAATGGACTAATTATCCAGATCAATGCATGGTAGAGTCTACTAATGTTACATGGGGGTAAAAGGGTTAACCACTTGGCCATCGCGGCTCCCTCATATGAGGTGTTTTCAACACATAAGGATTTTGATAAAGCTGGTAATGCTATTTGTCAAAATGATGGATAACCAATTATGTGGAACAGACATTAACTCATTCACCCCTGAAATTTCATAATGAACTATGCCAACCTTTGAATTGGAAAAGTTTAAATGTGTCTTCAGGGGTGAATGAGTTAATTACAATAAGTTTTAACAGCTCTATACACTAGTCAAACTTACCACGAGTCTGTTGGTGACCTTGGCTGTCACCATACCAAAGCTGATGAGGTACAGACACGGATGATTTTGGAATAAATTTGATGTGGATTTGAAGGCGATCATGACTGCTAGTCCTAGTACAATGCTTATAGGAACTACAGGGAAAATGGTGCTGGTGTCCTGCAAACATATATCAGATACATTCAATTAACAATTTTATGAAGTACACACAGGAAACCAATCATACCCAAAATACCGACTTCACTTTCACGACAATTTTTATGATAATGTAAGTTTTAGGCAGGTTATTATGGTTTGTATTACATAATACAAAACAAGGAAATTGAAACGCTTGGAAGCTGGGATCAGCAAGGTGGTGTCCCGAAGTCCCGCGATCCACGTCTGGACAAAACATGAAGGACAAACGTGATGGTAAAGGCGGTGATGTATGCAGTTAGGAACAAGGCGCAAGGATGTTAGGAGCATACATGTTTGGTAATATCACATTCACATTAGCAATATGTCACAAAATGTAACTGTTTCACTTACTAATCTTATTTACAGATTTTAATACCTGGTATTCATGATATTAGTGATAACCCCCCATGTTATTTATACAAACTTTAGACTTGGAGAGTATTATTTGGTTGCATTTAATGAGGTAATACCAAATATGTCTATAATTAATTTATCTTGCATATTGTGATCCTATTAATATGGTGTTATTCATGCAAGAAATCCACAAACTACCTTGACCTTGACCTAAAAAATGTGTTCACACTCCTAATGCATTTGCTTACTCTACATAAACTATTGTATCACTATGCAAACAAGAGGCCCAGAGGGCCTGTATCACTCACCTGGATATCTAAGCAATCATTATGGCAATCTATTCTCCAAATGAGATCCAAGGGAACAGGCCAGACCCCAAGGCCAATCCTTGTAGCATATCTGTATTGGATTTTTCCTGCCCAGCAATTTTATGTATGGTTATGGGTTGGGGATCTCAACTGTTTCCAAGCTGTGACTCAGAAACTAGGTCCCTTGGGTTGTGGCCAGACCCCAGGACCACTTCTAATATCATGACTGCATTGATCTCTTTATGCTCACCATTTGTATATATACTTTGGGGTGGGGATCTTAAGCGTTTCGAAGTTATGACCCAGGGGTTAAGTCTCAAAGGGTGGGGCAGACCCCAGGGCCATCCTGGAAGTGTATGTGCATTCATCTCTTTATTCTCAGCAATTGTATATATGATTATAGGGTGGGGATCTCAACTGTTTCCAAGCTATGACTCAGAATGTAGGTCCCTAGGGGTTTGGTCAGACCCCAGGGTCTATTCTAATACCATAAATGCAGTCGTCTCTTTATACCCAGCATTTGTATATGTAGTTTTGGGGTGGGGATTTCAACCGTTTCAGAGTTATGACCCAGGGACCATGTCTCCAAGGGTGGGGCGACACCCCATGACCATCCTGGAAGCATATATGAATTCTTCCTTTTATACTCAGCAATTGTATATATGGTTATACGGTGGGGATCTCAACCATTTCCAAGTAATACACTTTTTTTGGCCCCACCCCTTAGCCAGGGGGGTCAACCTCACCATTTGTACATTTTTGAATCCCCACCTCCAATGGATGCTTCTGACCAAACATGATTGATATCGAGTGCATAGTTCTACAGAAGAAGTCGTTTAAAGCAATATAGCCAAATTGCCACCTTTTGGCCCCGCCCCTCAGCCCCCTGGGCGGACAGCTCCCCATTTGTACAATTTTGAATCCCCACCACCTAGGGATGCTTCCAGTCAAATATGATTGATATCCATCTTATAGTTCCAGAGAAAAAGTCGCTTAAAGCAATATGGCCAAGTAACCCTTTTTGGACCCGTCCCTCAGCCCCCTGGAAGGTCAGCCCCACCATTTGTACAATTTTGAATCCCCACCAAGGATGCTTCCAGTCAAATTTAGTTTAATTTCAATCAGTGGTTAAGAAGAAGAAGTCGTTTGAAGAAATTGTTGATGTACGGACAACGGACGCCACGGTATGGCATATGCTCACCTTGGTTCTTCGGACCCGTTGAGCTAATAAGAAACGATTAAGACACAAACCTGACAGACATCATGATTTACTTCAATGGCTAAAACTAAAAAGATTGGTTTGGTTTGGTTTGGTATGGTTTGTATTTTACGTCCTATTAACAGCTATGGTCATTTAAGGACGTGCCAGGTTTGTTGGTGAAGGAAAGATGGAGTGCCCGGAGAAATACCACCGACCTACGGCCAGTATCTGGTGACTGCCCAACATAGGTCTCAAACCCTCGACCCAGTGGCGTCTGTCTAGAGTTCAGAGGGTCCTGGGTTGGAACCCCAGCCTGGCCGTGCATTTTTCCTATCCTGTACCCTGGTCACTACTATCACTTACTCCTATAACATAAGAGGCTGCTGGTTGGCCTTTTCTTTAATGGATATGATTTTGCCGGTTACACGACGCCCTTAAAAAGTATCTCGCCGTGTAAACCTCTAACACTGTTGTAGTATATAAATATATACTATCACTGTACTTGGATACCTGCTCCGGTTTACAGCTACTTACCAAGACATCTACTCAGACTTACAGCTTTACAGTGGGAGCTTAAGCTTACCGTAGACATAGCACTTAACTTACCCTATCAGGTTCTTCCTCCTCACTCTGTTTCCAATACAAAAAACTGTGGTTACCAGACTAACTACGAATGATAAAACAGGACTGGGGCATTTCAGATGGGGAAAAATTACATCATGCATATATGCCCTTGATTTTTTATGTACATGTTTATCAGCTTTTTTTGTAATAAATATCAATAACAAGACCTCTGAAGAAAATTGAAAAAGTGTAAACACGGCTTCTGTCCTCCTCATCATGTTTTTTCCTCCATATACGGAGGTTAAAAATGTAGCCAAAGAAACGTGTCAATTGACATTCTAAAGACAAATACATACACATGTAGGTCAAGTTAATCCGACTTCACAAACTTGGTAACACACCTTCGTGGCAGCAAGTTACTGGCCAAATATCTTTCTGTTGAAGACATCCGTGTATTTTGACATTCACAAAATGTTTTGCAGAGGGGCTCTCCGGTGGCCAATCTTATTAACAAATTTTACTTTTTCTTTGCAAAGCACTTATGGTGCTACAATAAAACTATCAAAACCATTGGACAATTGGTTTGTTGCAAAAACATTGTTTTAGATCTCCCAAATTTTACCCCTTTTTTGTCTCTGATGTGCCAGTCCCATTTCTTACATTGAATACAAATACTACCAAGGGATACTTATTGAAGTATTTATTTGGTAGCTTAGCAGCTCCCGAGAAGAAATACATGTAACTAATTGAGGAACACAGATGGCTGTACATAGCAATACCTCACTTGCCCCCCCTCCCTCCTATTATTACATAATAGCAGGTTACTAAAGTGATCTGTCCGTTCAATGATGTTTGCACAATAATTCATCCCTATATAATCAAACTTACAGCAATTGTTGACTTATTTTTTCCAATGCCTCCAGAGAAAATGATTTTTAGGTTGTCCCTACAGTGAAAAAGTGCTGGAAGAAGGGAGCCTACCACCGCCAGCGCTCGGAGAGTCAAACCAACCCCTGGTACCTGTAAGTATAACGTCAAGGTTCATATACCTAAAACACTTGTACATCAATAACGTAACTAAATCAATTCCTGTTAGTATCATGTGCCATTTGCCATAGAGAAAAGTGATATAAGGCAAAATGTGACTTCAACAGAAATGCAATTATCTATTAAAATGTACATACCATTTTCAGTATCATTTGTGTTAATTAGCGATTCAGATTTGAATTCTTCATCTCAATCATCCCTTGTCATAATATAGACAGATTGGTGAAGATATCTCTTCGAGGTCGTTCTTTATTCTATTCTTCACCCTCAGCCAAAGTGTTAAAACGGTCGGACCCTCAGGGTCATGACAGGTCATCATAAGTGATCATGTATCAGTTCTGTATTGTTTTCATAAATTTAATACTAATTAGCCAGTGCAGGCTACCTAACCAATATTTGTAAATTGACAGCAGAAAATGATATTAAATAGACACAATGCATAATCGAGTTAAATACAATACAAGAAAATGGTGTTTTATAGAATCATACTAATAATATGCTGAATAACAAACTGTAAATTACATGATGCAGTATGTTACATTTATAGCATATATATATACACCACCTTTTAACTCATACACCCCTAAAATTTCATTATGAACTATTCCAACCTTTGAATTTGAAGAGTTCAAATGTGTCTTTAGGGGTGAATGAGTTAATGCTACATATTTTTCTCATTGTTTAGCCCATACAGAAGCTGTGAAGTGTACAATGTGACTTACAACTGTGTCCCATACGCCTGGCCCTATTATTGCACATATAAAATAAACACCTATAATCCCGAACTGGCTCTCGGTCACATCAAATCTGAAAATAATAAAAAAATATATATATTTAAAAGTAAGATCTAGACTGATTTCTGTAAGATTTATTTTTCTATTAAGTTGTTGGATATATTCTAGTAAGATATTGCATCAAACATATCTTATAAAATGAAATTCTGAATGGTTTCTCCCTGTTCAAAGCACCTCCTTCAATTACTTTTCTGACTTGAACTTAACATTTTTCCACATATTTGTTCTATGTTTTTCACCAAATTTTCATAAACAAGCTCAACATTTTGTGCAATCAGTAAGATTTGTTTCTTTTCTTCTACATACTAGGTAATGTGAAAGAGTGACTCTTTTCCACTTACAACATGTAGGTATTCTAACTCATTAAATTTCACCCCTGAAAGTTCATAATGAACTATTCCAACCTTTGAATTGGATGAGTTCAAATGTATCTTTCAGGGGTGAATGAGTTAATAGCACATGCATTCGGAAATCATCTTTACAGTCAAACAGTTATTTAAATGATAAATAAACCCACATTGTGGACTTCTCGACAGTGGTGTCTGAATACATGTCTGACACTTAGTTATTTTGTTCTGTAACCACTGTAGTCCATTACATCAATGTTATTATCTAGATATCATACCCTGGTTACATAGTGCAGGTCAGTATATTGGAGTCGGCAATAGCACATTGAAATATGTTAGAGGTAAGTAAAACAGTAAATGAAACAAATTGTGTTATATTGTGGAATTTTCAACGGTACAAAATAATTGAAAAGTTGCAAGAAACACAAATTTTCTTCCAGATTATCTTTCAAATTGCCTGTGCAGATTTTATCACTTGAAAGTTTTCCTGTGTATTCTCAACTTCTTTATTTGAACTTAATTTAAATTCACACCTTCCGCTTAAACTTCCTGACTAAAATATATGAGACCGAAGAACTTAAAACTGCTTTGCAGAAATCTCAAACTTCTTTGTACAAGGATCCTTCTGGGGTATAAGTGGGGTACTTACTTATTAAAAATGAGAGTTCCAGTAACATAGGTCTGCCAATGAGCTTGGTAAAATAAATATAAGCCTGCTAACACTTCAAACATCATGTAGCAGGGTTCCTCGCCCATTTTCATAGCAGTAGTCAATCCAACGGTGACAAAAACTGTAGACGGGAACAAATTATCACATTTAATATGATACATGTATTTCAAAAACTAAAACATGCAGATTTTGAATCTGGTTATTTGGTACACATACTTGCCAACTCTTCCTATTTAAGAGGGAGACTTCCCGATTTTGGGACCCTAAACCTGACGACGTCCCCACATTCATAGGCATCAACACCCCCCCACCCCCCATCCCACCCCCAGTGGTGTGGAGAGGGCTAGTGATTGTAGATGGTCATACCACTTGTAATTAACCACTTGGCCACCACTATCCCTTCAGTGTTCTAATTAAATTTATAATTTTATAATATTACATAGTACATATATACACTTTTTTGGTCATATAATGGATCCATATTAATAGTTCTACCCATTTAGGTGGGTTTTTTATGGTTGCAATCAATTCATAGATCTGTATAGATACATTTTAATTATGCTGTACAATATTAAAGGATCCATTTCAATTTACAATATTATTTATTACCTCAAATACTTGTTTTGAGACCAACTGCAATTAATACTCAATCATAACTGAAAAAGATTGTTGTAGGCTACATAACTTCATAATAATCTACAGACAGTTAATTCATAATCATAATAATTGCAATCAATTATAAAGGGCAAGTTATATTGATATTCCAGTTCTTTTATCTAATAATTAAATAAGAAACAAATCCTGTGGACTTTGATGTAACTGCCCTGTCCTGTACAAAGTGGACAACCTCTGTGCCCTGTATGATCACTTATACATACACACATTGGTTCTGTAGTAAATTTATACTTCATGCCAATCGAGCAGGAAATTCATACTTCACAGTATGCTCTACAACACTGTGTACAATTTTATATGTACCGTGTACTGGTATATATATATGTATGGTAGATCATGAACACATGCTGCATATATATACACTACACTTATAATACCTACGCTTGATAGTTTCCCTAATTGATTTTTATCTTGCAACAGCTTGTGTCGGTGTTCACTTAACTTGTTTCATATATTTGCTAGAATTATTCTTCATAGCACATTCTGACAAGTATGTCACTAGATCAAGGAAATTCATTTCATAATACTACATACCGAATTATAATATAGATGGACAAAAGAGTTATTGTTTACCTATTTTTCAGGGAAACATCGATCCTTTTCAACACAACATTCTTTTCAACACACAATCATTTACAATGATAATCTCAATATAACCCAGTCAGCTTTATTCCAAACAGATATTTCTACATTTCCCCAATAACACAGACTAGATATTTCTGTATTTCCCCAATAATACAGACTAGAGATTTCTGTATTTCCCCAATAACACTGACTGGATATTTCTGTATTTCCCCAATAACACTGACTGGATATTTCTGTATTTCCCCAATAACACTGACTAGATATTTCTGTATTTCTCGAATAACACTGACTAGATATTTCTGTATTTCTCCAATAACACGGACTAGATATTTCTACATTTCCCCAATAATACAGACTAGATATTTCTGTATTTCCCCAATAACGCTGACTAGATATTTCTGTATTTCCCCAATACAGACTAGATATTTCTGTATTTCCCCAATAATACAGACTCGATATTTCTGTATTTCCCCAATAACATTGACTAGGTATTTCTGTATTTCCCCAATAACACTGACTGGATATTTCTGTATTTCCCCAATAACACTGACTGGATATTTCTGTATTTCCCCAATAACACTGACTGGATATTTCTGTATTTCCCCAATAACACAGACTAGATATTTCTGAATTTCCCCAATAACACTGACTAGATATTTCTGTATTTCCCCAATAACCCTGACTAGATATTTCTGTATTTCCCCAATACAGACTAGATATTTCTGTATTTCCCCAATAATACAGACTAGAGATTTCTGTATTTCCCCAATAACACTGACTAGATATTTCTGTATTTCCCCAATACAGACTAGATATTTCTGTATTTCCCCAATAACGCTGACTAGATATTTCTGTATTTCCCCAATACAGACTAGATATTTCTGTATTTCCCCAATAATACAGACTAGATGTTTCTGTATTTCCCCAATAACACTGACTAGATATTTCTGTATTTCTCCAATAACACTGACTAGATATTTCTGTATGTCCCCAATAACATTGACTAGGTATTTCTGTATTTCCCCAATAACACTGACTGGATATTTCTGTATTTCCCCAATAACACTGACTAGATATTTCTGTATGTCCCCAATAACATTGACTAGGTATTTCTGTATTTCCCCAATAACACTGACTGGATATTTCTGTATTTCCCCAATAACACAGACTAGATATTTCTGAATTTCCCCAATAACACTGACTAGATATTTCTGTATGTCCCCAATAACATTGACTAGGTATTTCTGTATTTCCCCAATAACACTGACTGGATATTTCTGTATTTCCCCAATAACACTGACTGGATATTTCTGTATTTCCCCAATAACACAGACTAGATATTTCTGAATTTCCCCAATAACACTGACTAGATATTTCTGTATTTCTCCAATAACACTGACTGGATATGCACAAGGACATCTGAATGAATTAATGAGCTTCATCTGAACTACTTTGTATGTAGATCTACAGTCTTTACACTCATGATCATACACACTTAGCTGTACACACCTACATTTAAACTAAATAGGTGTAACAGTACTACTGATCTATGATAGAGTACTAGTGATCTATGATAATAACAAAGAACTGTATTCGGGGTTGAGTTAAAAATGTTTATCACATTACTGATTTCTTTATCAGTATTGATAATAAAGATAGGGTGTATTATGTACACAACATCTTTTTAGGAACATTAACAGGCATGACTGCCAGAGGGTACGCCCTCCAAATGTTTTTTATATCAATTTTATTTATTTCAATGTTCAGTTTACTTAAATTGTGTTTCTTTTTCAAATTTAAGGAAGTGGGTAGGTGCCAAATGCAGGGGTAGGTTACTCTGAATGATTGTATGTAGAGCTTGTTATGATCATGAGTGCAGAGACGGAATTTTGAAAATGGTAACATACAAAACAAATATCTCTTCTATCTTTCACCACCCTCATTTCTGAACTGGCCGTCCTTGATCCCTGAATGCCTTAGTAACTCATACAAATACAGGTATTTAATATTATAAATATAATGAAGAATTGTAGTCATGGCTCGTTATACCATACGACGAATTGACAGTAATACTTCAATCCTCCCCATTTCAGTTTATTGTTTGAAGTATATATCCATACAGAAATGATTTGATGCCAACTAGAACTGCACAAAATGAAATGACAATACCAGTAATTTAAAATGTGAGAGGCTGAGAAATGCATTCAGTTATGTACCACAATAATTACATAAAGGGCAGTAACCCTTTAAAAAGGGATTCTAATAACATGGTAAATAAACATGCAACAAGTTGTCACAATAGACAAGAAATTTGCTAAGTTTGTTGGACTATATTTTACACATCACAAGTAGTTGACAGGACAACATACGTCTTGAAATGAAAAATCAAGGGCCAAAACTCTAGTAATAGTAGAAATAACAGTTACACATGTGCTTGCTTATTTATTATTAGTTATACCACATGTATAATGCATGGAATTAAATGTTTAAAGTTTCATAATGCTATAGTTTAGGAGAAGACTGGTACATATGTACATTCTGTATTGCACACATAGTTGTGTTTAAAGACCATTTTCAAAGAAGAATTGTTATAGTCAAGACCTAGATATAAACCATATAAAATGATTTGTTGAAACAAAATTTGTTACCTATATAGCTACCTATCAAACATTTTTCCAACATGTTACAGGAAACAGGCATTTTTTAATCTGGCCTTATTCAGCATTTAGTTAAAGGGGTTGGTCTGGGAAAAAGTGTCATATTTGCTAAAATGGCATATACACATGTTTAAAATACCTTCTTATGAAATATACCGATTCAAATTATATTAAAGAAATCCTAAATCATCACCTGACAGTCTAAAACTCTCAATTGACCCAGATCAGTGATGTAATTTTACCACATGCGCGTCATCAACAAGGCCAAATGTAAACATCGCGACAAGAGAAAAAGTTGCATGCAAAAGTCATGACAGGCACGAGGTATCAATACCGTTATATATAACAACAACATATAGGTAGGAATACTACACTTGCATCATACCTGACCTTTGAAAACAATTATTTACGTATAGTATTGCTGTCTTGTCCGCTAGTTGAGTCCGACATGGCTGATCGACGGCATGCTTTTGTTTTTATCTTCACTGCCTCACTTTCGAAACAACCACGTGGCATATATAAATAGATCTGTGCTAAATTTATGCTGGGCTTCCACAAGATTTCAGTGGTCAAAACTGGACATTGCAAGTAGAAATCGACCATCACATTGCTGTGGTATAACTTTTGGAAGGCCAGGGAACGCATTTAGACCCATTTATTTTGTATTTTTTTTCCCAGACCAGTCCCTTTAAATAGGTATGTATTGTATCGCATATGCTTGTTCAATGAAAAGAAAAGCTATCTGTTGAGGGATGGTCATTGGTTTCCATTGTACCAATTATGATATCATAATAATGTTGACACCAAAAAAAATTGGCTCATAGCATTCATAGCCTCATATATGAATGCCATCAGAAAGTGATAAGGTTATAGAGTGGCAATGCCATTTTGGCACTCACATCTAGCATTCAACAATACTTGCACTGCCCAACCACATACTCCTTTACAGCTGAGTAGATTGGAACAAGTGGAGTAAAGTAATTGTTCAAAGATTAACATAAAAATGTGGAGCCAACGTCGTAAGGTTGTATAGGTGGGTTGATCAGTGTGGCACTTTGCGCTGAGAGTGGATACCAAAAAGTATGCCGGGCGATTGATGAAGACTCACTTTAAGAGTCCAAACTAGTAGGCCAATAAAACCCACTAACCAGTAATGCCTGGGCTGTGATTGGAACCCTGCCCACTGTAATTCAAAGATACAACACAGTGCTGTGACGTGACTCGACCTGCAACCCTTCGGTCATGAGCCCGGTGTCCTTACACCTAGACTGCTGTGCCTCCTACAACTACACAACAGTGAATCAGCATGCCTCTACCAACAAGTATGGTCAGTGATTGTGAGCATCTTGGACAGCGATCATGCATAGGATCAGTGACCATGAGTGGCTAACCTGTGGAGACGGAGTCACAGCCATGATCAAACAGCTCTCCTAGGGGAGTATTGGTGCCAGTCCTCCTCGCCTGCTTTCCATCTATGGCATCCAGTGACTGGTACAGAAACAGTCCAACACCACACAGGAAGTAACATAATCTTGGTGCCTAGAAAATAACATCATCATTTTTTTCATTATTTTTTATTCATGGAAAGGTTAATATTTATCACATACATAAGTACAACATATAGAAGAGTAATATCACAATTGTATCACATTACAGTTTGAAATTGGAATGTAACACTGTTACACAGGATAGTATAAAATTGATTGACTAGATTGCTCAAAGATTTTCACCACATAAGATAAGATCACGGGTTTAAACCCTGTCTTAGGTTTCAAATATAATTGGTCATCGTAACCATATTCGTCTGAAACTTTGATCCCAGCTAACGACATAACCTAGCTGATGTACCGGTATCTTCACCATTAGGCACTAGCTAGTTTCGTACCTCTGTCTTGGCGTCGGCCGACCACACCAGAAGGAGTAATGTTGTGACGATGTTGATGAGGAGTCCGACACTAGTAATTGTGTTAGGGGCCCATGTTTCTGGAATCTGTTCAACCAACCATCTCCAAAACTTCTGCATCTGAGGCTCGAGCACCGACTGTCCCTGTGCACTATACTTGTGCTCTTTCAACCTCTTTAGCTGGGTTGACGTTAAAAAATCCGTCATTCTGCTGATTCTATATACGATCTCAAGTTTCTGAATTCGCAGATATAAAAAGACGCTAAATGTGTATCGTTACACACGTACACATGTCTTTCACTTCGTACTCTGACCTCACTTCCCAAAACAAACCTACAGCTTGGCGAGTCAACGAAACGCATGCGTGTCATTTTTGACATACTTCCGGGTCGTGGGGTCATTGGGTGCATTCGTGTGACATGAGTTGCATAGATGTGCTCAAGTCCGAAAGGAAGGAGAAAAATAGACACATCTAATCGATGTAATGTGTTCCTTTATTTGAGGAGTGGGCATTAGAACCAAGCAATTGTTAAGCAGTTTTTTTTAATTCATTCACAAAACACCCTTTCGTACTCTTTTTGTGAAAAACCGTTACATGTATAAATTAACAGGGATGTGTAGTGGATCTACACATCCCTGAAATTAATAAGAGAGGATTTCAAGTGTTTTAATTTTTCTTGTTATTGACGCTTCTTGCAACGGGTTAAAGATGACTACGAAACACTTAACATGGGACTAGTGAAAGCCACATCACCCGTCGTCGGGAAGCGGAAGTGATGGGGAAACTTTGATATGCATATTTTAAAGTATTATTGGCGATGTAGAATTATTGAGTGCTTATATCACGGACTTAGATAGTCAACCAAATATTTCGTGCTTATATTTACTATAAATCATAGCTGAGGCAGAATTTTACAGGGTGTGTCAACATGTCGTGAACCTTCCCTAGATTATTAACTAACCAGAGGTGTAAGATTACTATTTTTACCCCTACGACCCGCACCTGCCTCCCTTATATTGGCTCGCGTTAGATCTCACAGGTAGCTATAGCTATATACTGTATAGGTGCACCTTCACATCTGTGATGACCCCAGGGGTTACTTGGGTTAGGTACGAGTGTCCCATTATAAGCTTTGACTTGCAACTAGCAAATAGGTGTAAAGTGTATAAAATAATATGGGTTGCTCTTAATAATTGGTTTTACTGGCTCCTCATCATGTTTTTTTTTCTTTTTGTATAATGCATAACTTAATTTTCAAAAAAAATTATGAAGTCGATTATTATAAGAAGACCAATGTAAACAAATATTATGGAATATAAATCACCGAACAGATTAAAATTTAAAAATCGTATCTTGTGTTTTGTAATTTGAATGAAAAGAAAGAACGTCCTCACTTGAACCAGGATTTGAGTTTTAGTACAGATAACCATTGCCAGTATTAAAATATTTTTATAAATACGGACCCTAGTGTTCACAAGCACGCATTTATAAGAACACATGAATGCACGTCCTTAAATGACCTTATAGCTGTCAATAGAGTGTTATACCACGGACTTCGATAGCAATACAATTCCGCGGTGATACGCAAAAGACTCGTTCCCCGACCCAATTCCACGTCTATTGCTAGCCTATATTAATCATATATTGACATTTAATAATTTCAGAAGTCGAGAGAAATAATTTCCCTGTCAAACCCAAGAGTCAAGGCTCAAGTTTGGGAGTCAATAACATATATGCTCTCCTGAAGGGTCTTCTGAAATCCCTGGTAAAGACTCAATAATCAATCTGACGTCAACAGCGTGTCGTCTCGCGGAACAATCGCGAGTTACATTATATTATATTGTCAAACTAAATCATTGGGGTTTTTTTTCAATTTAAAAACATAAACTACGCAATTTCCTGAAAGCAAAGGCCGTTTCTTAAGATAAGTCATCGAGTGTTGATCTATTATTCAAAATAATCATGTTTACATTTAGAAAATGATATATGATGTGTTTTTGATGCTTCACAGATCAATATTTTAAATTACTAGCCGATCTGCATTTATTGATGTATGATGACAGCTGAGACAAACAATGGAAGACGGTGTCGGTGACCGAAGGTTCCTGCTTTGTCAAAGGCTTTCTCTCGCCCCATCCAAGACTATGTTTATTGTATTGGACTCTTTTACTTCGTCATTTAAGTCTGCATTTATTTCCTTTGAAAATGTGTCAATATATTCGGGTACTCATTAGAAACGAGCCCCATTACAATAACAAAGGCAGCGGATAGAATTGAAGGAATAAGGCAATAGACCAATAATTACCCGCATTGTTATACTGCATCTATCGGTCGGCATTGGGCTGGCTTTAAAGGCATACAGCTTCGGTCAAATAGAACCGATTACTTGTAGAGATTCTGCAAATGGGACTTAAAGAAATGGAACAAACAATAAATCCGTCCATGTTGACGAAACCATTGATCAGTATAGCGGTATACACGAGTGACCAGTATAGCGGTATACACGAGCGACCAGTATAGCGGTATACACGAGTTACCAGTATAGAGGTATACACGAGTGACCAGTATAGCGGTATACACGAGTGACCAGTATAGCGGTATATACGAGTGACCAGCTGTATAGCGGTATATATGAGTGACCAGTATAGCGGTATACACGAGTGACCAGTATAGCGGTATATACGAGTGACCAGCTGTATAGCGGTATATATGAGTGACCAGTATAGCGGTATACACGAGTGACCAGTATAGCGGTATGCACGAGTGACCAGTATAGCGGTATATACGAGTGACCAGCTGTATAGCGGTATATACGAGTGACCAGTATAGCGGTATACACGAGTGACCAGTATAGCGGTATACACGAGTGACCAGTATAGCGGTATACACGAGTTGACCTCACGGCCTAGCCATTCGCTATTCGACAACTCTCCACATTAATACACTAGAAGAACTCCGATCATAGGACACTGTTTTTATTCATGTATTAAAAAACAAGACATTAAAATTAAATTACACTTTTATCAAACGAAGCGAGTGGTGACGTTTTCGAGCAGATTTTCTAAGGACATGGTGTCAGCTGAATACATCAACATCTATGTATTGAACAAGCCTAAGTTCCAGTAGCTGTCTTATGCTACTTTCTACATTCATTCTAACATAAAATGACAAGTAAAGTCACTTGATGCGGCCTCTTTGCAGGTCGGGAATTGAGAAAGGAATGTACCCACTGTAAACCCATATTGTAAGAAGCAACAGATACTGGAACCCCTTGTAGAGTCGTGAAATTGCTTTTGTGCTACATCTACATGGGGACAACAAGTGACCAATGTATAATAGTGCCTTAATTTGATTTCATTGGCAAGATTTTAAATGAGAAAGACGTATTTGGTTCTGTCTCAGGCTGTGTCATATCAAAAGTCCTTAAATTGGGTATTTTTTTATCCCTTGGTATTTTTTTATTCCCTGCTTAAAGCTCATCGTTTAAGGTAATGACAACAACTGGTTAACTCGTTGTTAGTATGCTACTAGTATGCCCGGATGGAATACTCATCATCGATATACTGCGAGCCTTCGGCATGCCATGATAGTGAGGTAGCACTTTAAAGTCGGCATCAGATCTGCGCTACCACAAAGAGGCAACTACTTTACATATATGGGGGTACGTCCTTAAATAGCTGTTTAGAGGACGTTTACAAATCCAAGTCACCTATTTTGGGAGGTTATTGATAATAACTATGAAACATTATAGACATAAATTACTGTACATGGTCCAATGTACCCCAGGGAAATGTGACCCCCGAGGGAAACGTATTCCTGGTCAAATGTCAACCTTGGGTGGACCTGCTGACTGTCGAAATAAAACCCAGCTTAACGACCAAGCTTATTGGCTTTGCTCCTCCACACCATCAGTAAAATTTTATCTAGTCTTGTTTTTACCACGAAGATCCTGTGATATTACGGTATGGTGAAGCATCAACAATAATGATCGTTGACAATATGCACACGGTATGGTGTGCTATAGGTACCTCGTATCAAGGGTCTTCACCTACTCCTTGCAATCCGTGGCACTATTTAAGTTGTTGTTATTCACTCTTGCCGTTGTGAATTATTGAAAAAGGAACATTCAATTTAAACTACCCAATTAACTTCTTGACCACAATATACGTTGATAAAACTTATTTCATAATTGATGTAAAATTAAATAAAGTTCTTTGTAAATATCTTATTCCGTCTTTGCGTATTGCAGATTTATCTTCTCTTGGGGGCAGGTATTGATTGTTACGTCAGTTGTTTGTGAGAGTAACGTCATCAATTTTTGAGAAAACAACGTAATTTTCTCACACCAACCAATGACGTAACAATCAATACCTGCTCCCAAGAGAAGATAACTATGCAATACGCAAAGACGGAATACCACTTTGTAAATAGGATGGACATTTTAATATCTTTTACACCTTTTTAAACTCATTTGAACAATGTGCCAGGTATGTTTCGTTGTAGATTCATTGACATTATAACTGGTTGCACCATCTCTTCAATCCTGTTTGTAACGAGAATGAACCTCATCATTAGAGCAGATAAAAAGGGACGAGATGACCCAGAATGCAGTCAGGGTTCCATTTACCAGGAAACCGAGGATAATTCACGGAGACGTGACAAACACCACCACTTCACATATCCTAGCATACTCACTGCACTAGAAAAAGCTGCAAGTTGGGTCAGGATATAAATCAAGTGAAAGAAGCCCAGATGCATGGTGATCAAGAAAGGGCGCCCTGACAGAGAGATGATCCAGATCATCATTCAGAGTCAAATGTCTTCGCAAGTGGTAGGACGACCTTGTGTGTGATTCCAGGACTAAGAAGAAAGTTCAGGACCAGCTGGTGACATGGCTAAGTGTAAAGAAAGGACATGACTTCCAAGAAAATACAAAACCCGGATCTACCAGCAGGGTACTACCAAGACTCATGTGGACGATGATGCTTTAAAAGATTCCAAAAACAACGATAGAAGCAATAGAGAAAAGAGCCAACTATTTCATCCGAAGATGGCTAGGAGTACCATCGAGCTTTACTCAGAGTCGTGACGAGGTACGTCGGAGCTTAGCCGATAATATCGAGAGAGAGAGAGAGGAGAAGGAGATCCAAGGAAAAAATGGGTTTCAAGCAAACATGAACCCAGTCTGTTCGAGCAGGAGAAAACCCAGACCATCATCCCATTTAACCAGCAGCATGTTAGAATGTTCATCATGGCAGGTGATAGTAGACATTGAAAAGCAGTTAGTCTTTCCAAATGTAATCATCACCATCACCATGACTAGATGTGCTACTATGGCAAGAAGAAGACAAGAAAATCAACATGATAGAACTGACTGTGCCTTGGGTAGAGCGGCCCACGGGAGGAAAAGTGCCAAGTAATGGAAGCTTAAGGAGACCTGACAGTCAATAGAATGGAAGCTCTGGCTATGCTCAATCTTGTAGAATTGCCATGGATTCCCAGTGAGGTCTGTGCGGAAGACGTTCCCTGCAATAGGGACCGACGGAAGGCAGTCGGGGTGTTGGGAATACAAGCCAAGAGAGCATTATGCTGGATAGGGTACTGGCGAGAGGACAAGAAGTGGAAGACGCACACCGACATGCTATGAGACCATATGGGTCCGCCTACTAAAGGTCGTCATGATTTTGAAGGGTCGAAACCTTCAGCAATGGTTGGTTACGCTCTGAAGATGTCGAATTGGCACACTAGACGCGGCGCCAGAAATCAGATGCGACCTGTCCGGTATGCAGTAACGGAGTCTAGGAAGGGGAGACAACACCAGATGTCAGACGAGTGATTTAGCAAGATCAAAGCAGTGATACCACCTAAAACTTGCATAATGTATTTATTTTTTACATATTTGAATAATGTATAATGTAAGTTACATTAATCTACCAACATACCGTTTAGTTCGTACCAAATTAACGCTGTCTGTAATTGGTAAGTATCGATTTCTGAATAAATATGGCGCCAATTAAGTACACAGCGCTTTAAACAAAACATCATAAGATCCTGTATGTTTGTATCTTCTCGTTGTCTTATTCGTTCTGTATACACTGAGTTACTTCTTGCGTCTGGTGTATGTATTATGTTTATTTTGTCAGTTTGTTTAGGTTGATGATGACTGTTAGGGTGAGGTGCCATCCCCTCCCCACGAACAATAGGTAGTATTTTCTCAAACAGGATAGTAATCATCAAACATATTTAAAAAAATAAAAAAAATAATCCTATATTAGTAATCCATTAACATATTGATTTTCAGGGTTTCTTTTGGAAATATAGAACACAGGGAATAGATGATTGCTGCATACACATGCACGGTTTTCCTAACCTTTTGTGAATAAGAAAAGAGGTATGATATATTTCGTCGGTCTGATCAATTATAGCAAGAGCTTAATATGTGTGCTTAAACCACCAATCACCTGTCGGGGATCTCAAACCACCAATCACCTGTCGGGGATCTCAAACCACCAATCACCTGTCGGGGATCTCAAACGGTTGATTATCCAAAGTAAATAGCTAACGGCAAGCTACTAAGACTACCAGATAGTATAATTTCTGTCCAGTTACATAACAGATATTAGATTTAACATTTCTAAATAAGGTAATTTAAATATCGATTTATGTGTGGAGGTGGTACAAAGTATTAAACATCTTTAAATAAATTGCCTGTCTTACAGACACAGAGTTAGCACAGGACGGCGCTGATGTGTTTCCGCTTAGCTCTTTGCTGTATACTGGTAAGTTTCTATATTTGTTTGTTTGCTTGTTTGTTTATGTTTAACGGCCCATCGACAACTGTGGTCATTTAGGGTCATGTTGATTTTCTTTTAAACACGTTGTGAGTAGCGTAGATGAAATCAGATAAAATGAATATTTATAAAAGCATTCGCATGGTACATGTAATTAAAATATAAAAGGGGTTAAAATAATAAAAGTTAAAGATATTTGTCGTTATCATATCTGAATGCATTGAATCCTGAATACAAAATAGCATAAATCAGTACTTACTCACCTAGTGAGGGTCTTTTATTTGTCAGTTGTAATTTTCAAAGGTAAGGGTCTAAATAATCAAGAGCATCCTTAGGCACAATGAGCTAGCCGCTGTAAAACCGAAAATGTGGCCTTCCTGTGTCGACAGGGACAGGGCATGAAATGGAATCTTAAGGTATTTTTATCTTTAAAACCCTTCTCCGCCTATACAGCTGCACAGATTTTAACATATTTGGTTTGGAATATTACTGGGGCAATATGATCTTGGTTTGACAAACTATGTTGGTTTGACAAATGAAGCTGGATGGATGGGACTCAGTATAGGTATATTTAGGTGTACATCTGTGTTACTTCAACGAGTTACGATTTCGATACCTCCACACTCCACTTTATAATCACATACATACATTGCCCATTCTGCGCGAAGAGACAAACGCATCCCTACTGTCAATATGCCTAACGTCCCGTCCTGCTGTTACATAGCACGCTGACAACGTACTATGATGTGTATTGTATACTAGTCGTCCTGTGTCATATCTTCTTGCTGGACATGAGGAGGCTGACACATTGATGCTACCAGGATAACCGCCGGGTTCTGGCCCTAACCCTGGTTATTGTCACAGGATCATAACCAAGATATCAAAACTGTTGTGATAGAGAACATTTGCTACACAATTGCAGTCATGTTTGTTAAAAGCAAAGCCTTTCATTATTACATGAAATGAACAATGCATTGAATTAATTTAACGATCTATTTTAAAATCAAATTTTGTGCGAGTTTGCCCTTTTTGAGTGCAACCCGGCGAAGACCAATAGATAAACTAGAGGAAGACATTTAAAAAATATTTTTCTTGCCATCCGTTTATATAATACACAATATTTATGGTGAAATGTCAACTAAAATTATCTTTATAATTTCAAACCAAAAGAGTTTTGATCACTAAATAGTTAAGCTGCATTATGTGCCTTAATGTCCTGTGAACTTATGTCCCGCTATTTGAAAGTGCCGCAGTTCTGACCACACAACAGTCCGTACTTATGTTTGATATATTTAAGATGGCCGCAGTGACGACATATTTGATAATGACGGAGATCTGGCAGACACGTGACATCGGGAGTCCTGTCCAGGTGTGTGGTGACGTCATCAGTGTACTGGATGATATATCCCCCATACAATGTGCCATATACTGCATGGATCAAGTCCACATGTGCTTCATGTTTGAATTTAATGTCACGACCAATGTCTGCAGTATCTACTCCGAAATCAGCTACCAGAACGAAACCCAATCGTCACAGTGGACACCATTTTTGGCGTTGAAGGGACCCTCAAGTGAGTAGAACTTTCTTAGTTATCCCTGTACCTTATATACCATAGCATGTAATCGACGGGTTAATTTTTTTCTATAGGATTTAATTAAGGATCTTTTGTACCACTGGCAAAACATGTAACTAAGCATTAGAGACTGTTTTAAACCGCTTGACAAAACATTAATAACCCATACCTTTCGGAACATCTATTAGAAAAGGGGGGGGGGGGGGGGGGGAAGAATGATAGACAACTATGTTCTGAGAGTAACACTTGCAAAGGTACCTGATCGGAATCCTTGACCTCTGACCACAATACCGTCGTTCTTACCATCTGAGCTAACCTGGTCAACGGAAGTACCTGGTCGCCGTACAATTATACCAAAAAAGAAATTAAGGGTGGTCATTATATTTATCACATTTTACTATGTCGTACGGCCATGCGAGTTATATGGTATTACACACGTGTAATAAAACCCGAATGTGCTGCGATTTGGTCAAAACCGTTTGATCATATTCGGCTACACCACTACGGGTACGACTTTTATTTACTATACAACGTGATACATTTACTGTTAATCTAAATGGACTTATTTTGTCATTATTATTCTCATTGCATTTAAAACTGTTCATTGTTAAAAATAAGAAACGAACACTACTTTGTCACTGCGCGGAACGATCTGAGTACTTTGGTCTTAATGTAAGCAGAGTCAGCTAATAAAACATTGCGTTTGCAGTTTTTGTTCATATATACAGGATCTTACATTCGTGTTCATGTCATATTGAATTTATCAAATTCGTTTAATATTTGATATGACACTCGCGTAAAGGCTCGTGTGACATCACAGTATTGAACTCGTTTGATAAATTCAATATGGCATAGACACTCTTGTAAGATCCTCTATATAATAACTACAGCAGGACTAACTCGTGCTTTGTCTGCAGTGGGACAGGCATCCTTAATGCTCTCGCTGGGAGATGCAGTACGTCAAACTCGCAGTCATAATATTGAGCTATGTTTTCGAACTTTTCAGAATATTGGTTCAATTATTGGCCAAACTAAAAACATCAGGGGGGTAACTAGCCCTTATTCGGAGTGAATTCATTATGAAGCGGGTCGAGGGCAGGGCCTTAGTAAGGGGACAAAGGGGTGCAATAAGTGGTGTTATTTTTTCTGTTTATTCAGCGTATTCCGTCTTTTCGCACTTTATTGCCAAAAATCTAAAAAAATATATATATAAACCCGTCCCATCCCCATATCGTCTTATCAAGTCCATTACAAAAAGATAACATAATCGGTTAAATCGTTATAATGTCGAGACTAGACGAGTTATGTCCCTTGATTCTAGCAATAAAGCTAATGGGTGTATAACACCGAATTGAGATCACTATTACGAATGAAGAAGCTGAAATCTGCAGTCAGCTTGGTGGGATGAAAAGGAGAGACTTATTCCATCGCTCCAAACCAAAATACTTTGCCATTATTTGTATGCATGAATCTTATCATAAATAACCTATTCCGTCTTTGCGTATTGCAGAGTTATCTTCTCTTGTTAGCAGGTATTGATTGTTACGTCATTGGGTTGTGTGAGAAAATTACGTCGTTTTCTCAAAATTGATGACGTTACTCTCCCAAACAATTGACGTAACAATCAATACCTGCTCACAAGAGAAGATAACTCTGCAATACGCATAGACGGAATACGCAGCTATGTATTCAATTTTGTTTCATTATGTAGTTTGTAATGAGATGTACCTTTTTGCAAAGGAGTGATTATTGTCATGGCTTCTAATTGAACATTTTCAATTTCAATAATTTCAGCTATGGGACAGTCACTCCAGGATACATTAGCACATTCTAGGATAGGTCTTATACAAAATATTTATAAAGTATTTAAAGAGTATTTCTGTCACCTCAATGTTTCCTTTAGAGACTGAGCCCTACTGATATGTTAGAAATAAAAGCAAAGCATTTTTCATTCATGAGTTCTCATGTAGTACAACCACCATGTGGCCTAAAAAGGTAGACTTCTAATACAAATCTCATAAAAAACAGTTTTTCGGAAACCGTTCTGTTTAGAAGGAGTAGGCCTGTAAATGATACACAATCTGAATTATTTATCACCAGCAATGGCAGACATGTGCTCAAAATAAGTAAATACATCATCACGGTCGGGACCGAAAAGTATCACATTTTCATAAACAGAACAGCAACTTCGCCAACACGTCTGTTGGGTCGAGCATTGTGGAGGAATTCATATCCCGTTGGTAATAGTCCAGCAATGACTTTGACATCTATATGCAAACCTAGCCAGGTTTCTGTAAATGCTAGACTATCAATGTCCAAACTTGTAACAAAGTCACCGATGGACAGTAACAGTGATACTTTCCACTATTTGGTATTTGATAAACATCCACAATTACATATAAAGATGTATCGTCAGCAAAAACTTAATATTAGAATAAAGTTCAAAAGTTATGATATTTACAAATTTAGGAAATTCAAGATTGAATGATTGAATCGATATATTTGATTCTTATAACTAAGAACAGCAACGCCCGAATATCCAGATCTTTTCTGTAGGATGGGCAATCGAGCCGATTATAGGTTTATCATTTCCTGTGGGTAATTTTAAGATGTTCAATCAATTTTTTCTAGTATGTTTAAGAATCTGTTGCATTATAATATACATAATACCGTTGTTGTAAACATTGTACAGCTTATGTTAATTATAACCAGCAGTATCTAGATCTAGTGTCTGCTGACAGCCTGTGTGGCACCGTTTCGGTTCATTGTCCAATGAAACTGTTAATTGTCTCGATTAATGGCCACGCTTTTTTCATATGATATAATGAAACGTTAAAAAAACGACAAAAAAGAAACGTTACATTATTCAAAATATGGCATGTCACGGCTTGATGGCGTTAGCCGTGAGAGTGTCTACTGGCATTGTACAGGATGGGCGCGTTTGTTTACTGTAGAATTGTACTTAATGTAGTTGAAATAAGGAATAGTTTGTATATGAAACCGAGCTATTGTGTATAAAGTTGTTGTGATAATAATTATTCTTGGTGTTTGGAAATGTATAAATTAGCAACACAAATTACAGTATGTTTAGAGTTTTATTATTGTAATGCGCCCAATCTTGGTAGGTCCAATTCATAGGAGTTCATTCAGTAAACATCTACCGTTCATATTCATAATTTTATGTTCTATTTCATTCACATTTAACGTCACAAATAATATTTTAAAGTAAACAAGGAGCAGGACATATGATACTGACTAGATTTTTGTAGATACGCATATGGATCAAACATTCTCGACCACGTACTACATTACAGAATATTAAAATCTCATAATTTATCAGAGTGATTTGTAAGATTGTTGAATATTTGTCCTCCAAAATTAAAATGCAATTACGCGAGTCTCGTCAAAAAGATGTTTTGCTTCCTCGGTATGTCTTTTCAAACGTTGATAGAAAATATTTCCATGTATACATGTATATAAGATTGGTGGTATTAATGGTAATAATATTTATGGATCCCGATATAATCCTCAGCTGAGTAAAAAGCCAACAGCAACCCCTGCTAGTCTAGACTTATAATTACTAAAACATACTGCTACCGCCACTCTCATGCCCACTTTATTCCGTCTGTGCATATTGCAGAGTTATCTTCTCTTGAGAGCAGGTATTGATTGCTACGTCATTTGTTTGTGAGAATAACGTCATCAATTTTTGAGAAAACGACGTAATTTTCTCACACAAACCAGTGACGTAACAATCAATACCTGCTCTCAGTAGAAGATAACTCTGCAATACGCAAAGACGGAATAGGTTATTTATGATAAGATTCATGCATACAAATAATAGCAAAGTATTTTGGTTTGGTGCGATGGAATAAGTCTCTCCTTTTCATACCACCAAGCTGACTGCAGATTTCAGCTTCTTCATTCGTAATCGTGATCTCAATTCGGTGTTATACACCCATTAGCTTTATTGCTAGAATCAAGGGACATAACTCGTCTAGTCTCGACATTATTACGATTTAACCGATTATTTTATCTTTTTGTAATGGACTTGATAAGACGATATGGGGATGGGACGGGTTTATATATATTTTTTTAGATTTTTGGCAATAAAGTTATCAAGTTTTATACATATTTTAACATGCATTTTCATCTGTACATTAATATGGTATAAGTCGAATTGTTATTAATTATATAAAGTGAAAAATGCTTAATAAAAAAAAAGAATGAAGGCTAAATTTGTGCATCAGATGTAACAACGACTTCTCCGTGCATTTCCTTAATTTCAGCAAAGAACGAATGGCTATTCCGGAAGACATAAAGGATAATGTATACTGCTGTTTAAAATTTATATTTGTTGTGGGGTTTCTGATGTTTTGTTGTCATCTTGTATAGTTCTACTTACAAGTTGATGTTGTTTTGGGTTTTTTTCCGGGTAACAATAATAATTAATAATTCGAGGTTCTTATATACCGCTTTATCACAACCCAGTTCGTAGATCGTCTCAAAGCGTTTCACAAATTATTATCCGTGGTTATAGGGCATTTGCAACCAGCCAATATCTTTCTCAACTCCCTAGGGAGCATACAACCGGAGCTGCCATTTCGGCGCTAACAGCTAGCATTCAACAATTCTAGCGCTGCCCAACCACGTACTCATTTACAGCTGAATAGACTGGAACAAGCGGAGTAAAGCATCTTGCTCAAAGATACAACACAGTGCCGTGCCGTGACTCGAACACGCAACCCTTCGGTCACGAGTCCAGCGTCCTACCACTAGACCTACCGTGCCTTCTGAGTTTACCCTTGTTTACTCTCACATTAATACCATCCGCTCACCAAGATCCCGGCTAACAAGAGTGATTGATATAAGTTGTTTCATAATTGCTGTAAAATAAATAAAGGTTATATTAACAACAAAATTGAGGAACAATCCGACAGACAAAAAAAACAAAATGAAATCCTTCGATAAAATCATAAGCGATATCGACTGCTACGTACTGATGGACGTTTCCTGCCTCACACGTGACTCTGGTCACGATGTCATCCGTGACATCCTGGAAATAATGACGGCCACACACGGTCTAGTGAACACTTTGAGCAATATTTTAATTATTTTATATATTTTAGATGCTGAAGAATATTGAGAGTACAAAAAAGCTTGTTTGAAATGGCTTTAACTCTTTCACCCCTAAGTTACTTGATTAGACTCTACCATACATGCATCTGGATGAGTCCATTATGGTTTACAGAGGTGAAAGAGTTAAATCCGATTCGATAGTAAATGTTTATTCATGTTATTGGTTTTGCATTACACAGACTGTGAACGATCTGGATACGACCATGTCGTGAACGAAGGTCTTTGTTTCAAGATATTTGAGGAGGAAGTGACGTGGTATGACGCCAGTAGAACATGTGAAGAGGATAAAGGGAGGCTCGTCGTTTTGAAGAACTCCAGACAGATAGAAGCTCTGCTGAAACACGCCGAAGGTGAGTTATTCTATGATTTAATAGGGGTCTGATAATTTATGTTCAGTACCGATATATTCACTACAAATACGAAGTAAGAAAAACGAATAAGAAGGAATGGAAAATATTTTGTAAGTCGATGATACGTGTGACCATAGGATAACTATAACACATCGCAATACACAAAGGGTTCGTCACTACATAATCAACTAACGCGTTATCAGCCGCATGGAATACATCATTATCTTAATGTGCTTACTTGAAGATCACAGTGTGTTAGCTGGTTATATCAACAATATGCAGTACCTACACTCGATAACACTGTTCAATTATTGTTGATTTTCAATAATACCAATGGAAAGATTTTTCTTTGCTTTTTTATCTCGTTATTTCACATCATACCTATTTCAAAAATCAAATGCATATCAGTTGCCTATGTATTTGTGTCATTAGTCCAATGGCCTGGTACTGTTGAAAGTATTCAAGGGACATAACTCATTAAGTCATTGATTTCGTGAGTAGCTTTGAAAAAGCTCGGTGATTTTCTGTATGACGTCCTAAAGGTTGGTATGCATGGTTTCATCCTGCGATATAAGGATCATCCAAAAAGGATGAATACTCAATAATATGAAGTATTTGAAGTTTTCACATTTAAACTGTTTTCTCCTGACCAGAAACATATTTATAGGACGTATATCGTTACAGGATACCCAATCTGGCAGTTATGGAGTGGGTTGACTGATCCTGCGAAAGATGGTATCTGGAAATGGGTAGATAACACCCCCTTCAACTCCTCGGTTTGGCACCTGATTTTGTTTAATGGCATTACCCCTCACTATCCAGCTGACCCGTTCACAGCAGACTGTGCATCAATTTATACGTACAGCGATTATCTGCACGACAACAATTGTAAGTCTATCGGTGGTTTTGTGTGCGAGCGTCCGCAGTTACTTTGACTCATAGCAACCGGAGAGTTTAGCTTTTTTATGGACCTGGAAGTGAAATTATGCTATTTTCAAATCATTCAAAGATGGACAGGAATCTATGGAAATAAACTTGTATGAAATGTGAAAATAACACATATCTGACCGTCTTCAAAATGACACATCAAATATATTTTGTTGACTGTCACGAGGAATATGACTGAAGTTAGAATCTGTATACCGACATATTGCGATGTTAGAATTATATTTTTGAAAAGTGTGTAAGCACCCTAGATAAACATTCTATATTGAAAAATGAACTACCTGGTCAGCAGTTGGTTGATCTTCGCCATGTGTGACTGTTCATGAAATTCCCTGCGAATACATACTGACTTCTTATCTGTTTATCTGGTGGTGATGCTGTGGATACCCTATTTATTCTTGTTGGTTCTTTACATACAATGATGTACTCTCTCAAACATATGTTTCGTACAATTTTTGTGGCAATGATAAACTTAATAAAGGAAGATGTTATGCACCTTCTTATTTTAATGCCTAGCCTACTTAAGTCGATTCGTCATGTTTCGATAAATTTTGTTACAACGACAGACTTACAAGGTTCACGCTTTTTCTGTTACTCTTGTCACTAAAGTCACATTTCATACCAAATCTGTAACAAAGACAAACTTTATGAAGATTTGTTTTTTCGTACAATTTTTGCCACACTGTTATTTTACGGAATGAACTATTTATACTATATATGTTACAAAGCTTTTCTTTCTGGGGTAGTGTTTCAAATAATTTCAGATAAATAATGTTTTTACGAAACAAAAATTTTCATACAATTTCTTTTTACGACATTTGATATAATTCCTAGTATACTGATTAAGCTGTCATTAAGTTATCATAGATTATCGACGTTCATACGATGTATTCAATAGCATACATTTTATATATACAATCCCGAATTAAGACATATTTCAAATTTTTAAACACACATTGCCTTTCAAGGAGCTAAATTGCCAAAGGAAGTTACACAAGGATTTGTTCAAAGAAGATATAATAAAATATAAAGTATTCGATTTTATTTTTATAAAATATCTGGTCCAGTGATATGCTAACAAAAATACTGTTTTACACCATATAGATGAATATACTTGTGGGGTGACACCTGAAGGGATGTCACAGATGGAATGAAGTGTAGAGGGCAATAACTCTATTTAAACATTGCTCAAACAGCTATTCAACATGACATTGAAGAAATTATTCGAGTGTTTTAACCAATTTGACCCCTGTGACCTTGACTAAGGGTCAAGGGCATTTCCTTTTGCAAAATATGTCTGGCATGATGCTGCCGTTAAGTCAAAGAAAAAAAAAGGACAAAATCGCAACATCATCTGCGACTTACAGAGTCAACGTGGGTCAGTTGAACAAAAATAAAGGATGAGTTAAATGTGGTGAGCAACGATGAACTGGCAGTGAATCTTCTCGGCATTTGGCAAACAAACGTTTGTGCTCTCAACGAACACGGACAGTCATACAGTAGATTTGATTAACAGTAAAATAGTGTAGTATTCAATTAAGCATTTCAAAATACCTAGAAATGCGACACCTTTGCGGGAGAGAATGCGTGCAGAGGAGCAGTGTTTTCCCGGTTACCACCACAAAACAGTTGTACGTTCCAGAGGTTGCATACATGTCATGTACTGTCAGTGCGCTATTCTGTTTATCTGTCACCCAGATTGCATTGATATTGACAATAAATACAATATTACAAGCGTTTAATTATAGTATTTACATATGGCTTGTGAGAATGACGAGCCTATTTTACCCCTTTTGGGTCACTTATGGGGCTTCTATGAGCTCGAGGGCTACGCCATATTTGTTTGTAAGCTAGAATTAAGCGGCTTCCCTAGGGAACTGCTAACTGCCCAGTTTGGTTGAATTTGGTTAGGTGGTTCTTGAGAAGATGTGAAAAATATGAAAAAATACCTAATATTGATACCTTTGGGGCCCTGTTTGACATTGACCTTGGACCCCATATCCATGTTTAATACATGCATTTATATGTACTAATTTGTTGCATCAATCCCTACAATTCTCCAATATATTTACAGTTAACAAGCCATTAACATGCAATTGTAGCCCGGTAAACACGGAAACCGACCCGAGCACGGATCCCGGGAATTCACCAATGGACAGAGCTAGCCTTAATAAAACTGTGATGTTGGGACGGTGTTAAATGATAGATATCTTAAATGAACACACCAAAGAAAGTGTTAATATCTGCAGCTTATTTTCAAATAACGGGTTTTTGCGATTTTTCCAAGTTTAAATAATTTAGAATCAGCTATAATAGAAATGCTAGTATTTGCTTCCGAGTCTGAAAATTCCTGTAGTTGATGGTCCAGACCACTCATTATGGTGAAACAACTACTAGAATTTCCAAGTCAAGTAATCCAAGAACTATTGCTATTTCCCTGAAGCTGTTAATTTCATATCTGTATTCGCTTTTTTTGTATATCGTGTATTCTTGTTTTAATATATAGTTTTATGTATTAACAGATGGAACCTCCTACCCAAAACAATAATCCAATCAGAAACACTAGCAGAATTCAGGACATGCACCACATATAACATAATCGAACATATACAAAACCTACAACATAACTGCACGCACACATGGCTTTTAACCTTTTTTTTGACGGGCGTATAAAAATGGGATCAACGGACAGTTTATTATGATCATTGCTACAGATCTGTATTACCAGGGTGGGGACAGATGATTGTGATGTCATATGCATGACATTTTGAAATCTTGGATGTTATGTCACTATTTATCTATTTAATAATTAGTGTCTGTTGCTAAGCTGAAGTTTGGATAGGATTTCTGTTGTTCATCATGATACCAGAGTGAATATTTATGATGTCATAGACGTCATGGTAACTATGACGTTATATAATAACATGGTCAAATGTTATAGTACATAGTACATGTATGTTGCACTTAATTACATGCACAGAGACTCTAAGTACCATAATCAACACAAAATGCAACTTTATTGAAGAAAACGTGGAATTATGCGACTTTTCATTTTCAAAATTACCTCCCTTTGTTACTTGTTTGAGAGGAAAATTGATCAAAATACATCTTTCAGGGAATACACGGTAACCTGACATGTCGTTTTGTTCATCGTATCATTTTCTAGACATTCATGGGTCTTTTATTAAAATTAAAATTTAAATCCTTTCCATATGATGTAGCAGACCACAGTATCCAGGCCTGGCCATGGATTTTTATACAATGTATAAATTTGTATAAAAAAATAAAATTTAAAATTAAAAAAAATCTTCACTGAAATTGGTATTTTGTCATTTTGAAGTGAACAGTGTAAGGCTGCATATTTTTCATAATATAAAATTTGTATTTGGTTCGAGATTTCAATTTGGTCAGTCTGTAATCTACACACCCTCCAACACAACCTCAAACACATGCGAAGTTTGCGAAAATAAATTAATGTTGAATGCATGCTGAATTGTGACTGAGTATTTTGGTTAGCATGAAAATGATGTTTAATTTTAGACATGTTTTAGGGAAAAAAAATCCTATCTGTGAGGGTCAATTTTTATTAACAATTTTCTGCAATTTTTGATGTGTTATCCATGGTTTTCACAATTTAAGTCTTAAATACGAGGAGAACACCTTTTTACACAATTTTCATGTCTGTATTACAATTGCAAATGTGATGTACTAGTTTATAAATTATTCATATATATATACATGTACATGCATGCAAGTATCTTCAGGGCTCGGCAAAAGCACTCGTCCACTCGCCCTGAGGAGCAGATTTTGCTGACAGACGAGTGATTTTTATTGTCAACTAGTCTGTCGGACGAGTAAATTGTATGTACTTAGGTTACGATATATATGATTTCATAAAGATATTTTATGTTTCTTATTCACTTGAGTAAATTATACAATTAGTCACATCTAATTATTTGAGACTGTAAGTGTTTTATGATAATATTTCGGATATGAGGTATAGTTTTCCGTCCTGTTACTTTGTTCTCTCATGTTACTACAAGTTATGTCCTGTTACTGATAATAAAAATTGAAATTAAATTTTTTGTTTCTTTTGAATTGCTATTAACTTTTCAAATATTCAAATATTGAAATAGTATGTACATATAACATTGATACTTTTTGGTTTGTTGTGGAGTTGTCAAGACAAAACAATTATCAAAAATATGAAATGCGAACATTCTGGTCTCAGCCTAGCTGTTAATTAAATTGAAAAATAACTATGAAATTGTATATATACTTTTGAAACAATAATATGTGAAATCAATTAGAATATTGATATTTTATCACAAGAATAGGTAAAAAAAAAAAAAACTTATTTTTTTGGTGTAAATATGTGTGGTATTTTTTGGTTAGACCTACCAAAACAACAATATGTAGGAAATAACATTTGATTTTTTTTATTGAAATTCATTTGATGTGTTTATACTATAAATGAAAACAAAATCCAGCCAAATCCGATCGTTATTTTCCATAAGGAGTCTCACTTGATATGTTTATGTAGTATTTGAAAAAAAAAGACAAAACAAAGTTACTTCACCGTGATGCCCCTTTAAGTCTCATTTAATAGCAATAGAAAACGTTTCATGTGTTGAACTAGGGTAAAGTTATTTTTTCCCGCGAACCTTCACCTATTTCAATTTAAATACCAAAAATATACCACGACGCAAATACAAAATGAAAAAAAAAAAAAAAAAACACGAAGAAACATCACAATCAATTGAAAGAGACTGTGAACCCCCGCAAATACGAATGTCCCTTCTGCTAGATGTTTTCTTACCATAGGTAAATTGTACCTCCTGCATATCGTTATAGATTTCCATTCAACGCACCAGTCAAAAATCGTTATCTGTAAAGTACATAACAATAATTTGTACCTTGAAATTATGATATTTCTTCATTTGTCCTCAGTATAAATAACTCATCAACACATGGCGGGCCTACACCTTGG